GGTGGTCTAGATCAATGCTGTGTTCAGCTACGGCTGACTTGTCCGGATGTTCTAATTGTATATGCCGTTGATGTTCTTTCTATCTATTATTTTATAATTCCTTCCTCCCCTTTCCCCCCCAAAATAAATCCCATGAAATTTATATCTCTGTGATGTATCTTTATTATTCTGTATTCTGCACCAGAAATAACAGTACATGAATCCCTTAAGGAATTTGATATTTCTTGAAATATACACATTTTCACTCTGTTTTCCTGCTATTTTGAAAGGAATAAGTATGGGAGAATTAAAAATAAGATAAAAGAGTAATGTTTGCTTACATTGTAGTGCATGATCTGGCCATTAGGCTGTATAGGTGGGGTCCATGTTACATACACAAAACTTGTATGGCTGATGTTGTCAAAACGACATACTAAGCTCACATTCTCAGGTGCACTTGATTCTGTAACAAAGGAAAAACACTTTCTCTTTAAAAGAAATACAACAAGCAATATACGTATGTTAATAACTATAATATAGGGACTGAGCACAAAAGAATAAAATAAATAAATAGACAAAAGAACACCCAATCCACAACCTGTATGATGATATATCACAAGCAAAATTAAAATAAAGAACACTAATAAAAGAACTCAATGTTGAACATCACTAATAAAAGTGATATTGACATGATCTTGAGTGCCCCTTCCACACAGCCTAACTCAGTACAATGTATCTTAACTCTCTTAGGAATGTAGCCATGCTAGCATGACCAATGATAGCTTGCCATGACAGAACACTTCACACATATGTATTTCAAGGTTTCGTCAAACACATGTGAGAACTCTGTCAGAAGCCTATATGCTTGTGGCAAACAGTGAGAATAATGAAAATGCCTTTCCGACCCTGTTACTTTGTTTATAAGCCCACACCTCTTGTTTATAAATATGAAGGGATATCTTATTACCCTATGTATTATAATGTTGCCTGAATCAAATACAAGTTCACACAGTAAGCAGAAGGTATTTCAAGCTTGAAAACTGACTGTTCCTGCAGTGAATGAAATTCTACAGGTAAGTGATGTAGAACACTTGCACAGTGATTCATATTAAGATACTGAAAGCGACACATTAGTGACCAAATATGATTTTGACAACATTTAGGTTCTAAATAGAGTATTTAAAGAAAAGATTTCTAATTGTACTTTTGTGTTATATGAGCTAAGAAGGAATAACAACACAATTTTCATTCTAACAGTTCAAGAGTATGATGACTCAAGCTAAGTGTCAAACCTGGTGTACTGACCTAAGACTTTAATGAAGCAAGATTATTTTAAGACCATGCCTCCTGTTCATACTGTGGCATGCAGACCCATTTGCTAGGCAATGACCACAACAGACAAGCAAAAAACAACAGAAGAGTTGCTGGAAGCAGTGTTCTCTGTGTGGTCAGTGCTGAGGCAATATACTGAGGGCCAGCTGCCATTAGATGAGAGTCTTGAGACAATGAGAAGAGCAGGAGGTTGGTGTGAGATGGCCTCCAGTGTGGGAATTTTTTTTTTTTAGTTATTTAGAGAGGGTGGGTTTCCCCATGCACCGCGACCAGTTTGATCTATTGTGCTTCCCTCTATGATATTCTACCAGTCTCTATACCCTACCGATAAATGGTGCGTACCATCAGTCCCGCCGAGCAAGCAAGTTCGGCCACTTGCTTAGCGGTATCTATAATGCTTCCCCCATCTATCAGAGGCCTCAGAGACTACTGTTGGGCAGGAAACGTCCTGGAATTTGGCTCAGTGATCCCCTTTGGGGATATGAGGTTCTTTTACATGCCCTAAAGTTACGACATGGGACACACATCTTAAAGTCCCTCCCGGAGGACTTGTTCCCTGAATTTTTCCGCCCTTAAAAATTCGACGACCTCCGCCGGGTATTTGACCCGCGTACCACGAGTCATGAGGTGGGAACGTTACCTCTAGACTACGGAGGCTGCTGTGTGGGAATTAGTCAAGTGGATTGAGTTGGTTGGTGAATCTGTGAGTGTGTTAGATAGAGGACTGCTGTGGATCAGTCCTTGTGAGCTGTTTCTGTTAGAAGCTGGTAGCTGAGGCACAAGGACAGTTTGGGAACCCAGAGGAAGGAGAACGTCCACTTTTGGATGCCGTAACAGAATACTGGTGAAGATACAGCAGACTGAGAACACTATGTACGAGGGGGGACCCAAAAATAACCGGAAACAACCTGTTGCGCAAGCATGCTTTGTAGTTACGAGTTGTGCTGCTAGGTGGTGTTAGCTGGGGTCTCCCGCGACTGTTAGTGAGCTGGCGTCAGTCTGAGTTAAGTGGTTTGTCTGTGGTGCTCTGTTGTGTGCGTTCCTGTTTCAACCCTGTGGCGATTAGTGAGATGGCCGACCAGAAGGAACAAAGAGTGTGTGTGAAATTGATGAAGATCGTCGAAAGACCATTGACCAACTTTCTGAGGATACGAACATCTCACGGAGCACGGTCCAGCGAATTTTAACCGAAGGTTTGCACATGAGACGGGTGTCTGCAAAATTTGTTCCTCGCTTGCTCGGAGATGACCAAAGAGAAAACTGCGTGAATGTTTGCCGCGACTTGAAGAGTGAAGTGCAGTTTTCCCTAACAGAAAGCAAAATTTCACGCACACTCTTTGTTCCTTCTGGTCGGCCATCTCACTAATTGCCAAAGGGTTGAAACAGGAATGCACACAACAGAGCACCACAGACAAACCACTTAACTCAGACTGACGCCAGCTCACTAACAGTCGCGGGAGACCCCCACCTAACACCACCTAGCAGCACAACTCGTAACTACAAAGCATGCGCGCGCAACAGGTCGTTTCCGGTTATTTTTGGGTCCCCCTTCGTATGTACTGTAACGAACTGCAGAGTGTGTGAATTAGCGGCAGCGCTATAGTTACTTGTAGTTATGATCTGTAAGCATTCAATAAATCCACTTACCAATCCAGACTTTGTCTATAGTTACTCATGAATCGTGACAATATTATCACTGTTTTCACAAAAGAGAAACATAGGCACACACATTAAGTAATTTCCAAGTACTGCATAGAAGTAGAGACAACCTACCTTACAGCATGAAAAGGTGGACAGATACAGCAAGGAATAATTGCATATTTTGACTTGCTTTACTGACAATGATCGCTTGCAATAACACAATTCTCTGGTAAGAATACTGGTCAAAATTCCAAAAATGTATTAGTAATACATTCCTTTCTATTTTCAGAATGTTTTGCTTTTGAATAATAAAGAACAAAGAGGAGCCAGAGTTGTGACAGTGTGTCTCTTCAATAAGTTTCTGGTTGCATTCAAGAGAGTTTAACTCCTTTTCAAGACTTTTATGCTGATGAAAGTTGTGTGTACTTCGAAGGCAGCCTAACTTCAAACGACACATAAAAGACACAGGTTTGGAACAAAGCATTACCTCATCTGTGATTATGAAACTGAATACATGGGCCTCTCACATATATACAGGGAAAAACGCGAACAATTAATCTCAATACATGACTTTCAGGAATATAGGTCAACATACCTACTGCACCATATCTGAATAAAAGTCACTCTGTTTATACTACTCAACAGGGGCTGGATTTTGATAACATAACTAACATCTTTCTTTCCTTGTATCCTATGTGATGCCATTAAATATATAAATCCAGGAGATGAGCTGCTGGTTACAGAAATGTAAATTTTATAGGCAGTTTTTTGATATTTTTTCAGTTTGGGGGCAATTTTTTTTGGTAAATTTTTGACCTTTTAAGGGTTTTTTTTGTCATTTTAGCCATTTTAGGGAATTTACCTTGATATGTGTTTTGAAATGTGTACAGTATGAAAGTAAAGTGTTCTTTCTCTTTCTCCTAAGTGCTCTCTACACAGGCAGCCTGCAGCTGTAAACCTGTCCCAGCCTTTCCGTTCATTTTGTGGGAAAGTGCTGACAATACATATCACAAATATTTTAAGCTAGCAGCATGGTGAGACTGTCACTGACACTGCGGCTCTTTCCAAGTTCTGTGCAAAGCAATTGGCTTAGTTACAAATATTTCTAGTCGGATGGATGGAATGCAGAAAGCTGAGGCACACCAATTTGCCCCCTGGCTTGACATAATGCAAACTGTTTCACAGTGGCAATACTGCCCTTTCATGCACAGGAACTGTACTGCCTGCATGCTGACAGTTACTCCCACCACACTGCTGCTTCTACTTCTGACTGATGAGTGTGACAACCAGTTACTGGTCTGTCAGTGATCAGACAGTCAGTGAGTGACTAAACAAGTCAGATGACTCTCAGTTCGGCTACAAGAGAGAAATAAAAAAAGAAGAGATGACCACACTCAGTGAGCACTGGCGTTGCTGTAGGCTAACAAGTGGACAAAAACAGACCTTAGGAGTATAAGTGGTTTACGAACAGTGGGGCAACAGCTATTCAGAACAGCAATAACTATTATAATTATTTACCGATGGGAGTGAAAATAGAACAATTAACATACTGTAACGTGTTTTGCTACTGAAGATGCAGTTCAGATTGTTAATTGGTTTATTTAACAACCTACAAGTCGTAATTACAAATACTTATAACACTGTTACGGGTTTACACACTTTACAAACCCTACTCACAAATCTCTTCACACTATCTTCAGTACAACACATGTTCCATTCTTCTTTCCACGACTACTGTTATATTTCAACTGCTCCGGCAAATGCTAGACTTCCACTGCCTTTGGCGGCTGCTACATTTTAACTCTCTGGCGAATGCTAGACTTCCACTGCCCTGCTTAGGCATTCCAGTGTCTCTTATAAACCTTCAGCTGGACAGCAGAAAATGCAACTCACTTCCCTGTTGTGTAATCGCCATGTTTACTGATTGCCTAGCAACAGTCGCTGCATGGGCTCGCCTGTTGCTTGACATCACAGCCTCGCGGGGAAGGGTGTTTACCGAGCATTGCGTAGTGATAGAAGGAGTGGGGGCATGTGATGTCACTCGCGGAAATGCAGAGTTCACATGACCCCTACTTCCTGTTGTGCCATCCATGTCACAATACGTTAGTTCAGGAATTAAGAATGTAAACTGAAACCATTATAATAACACTTTTCTCTAAATATATACCCCAAGCTGCCTTATAACACCAAATAATATGAATAGGTATATGTAAATCAAAGATGTTTCCTTTTCAAAGACTCATTGTTCATAATGGGAGTTATGCTTTCAAGTGTGTATATTTCAGTGTTAAATTCTGTGATTGTTATATTTTTTGATTATTTGAAATTGAAATTCTCAACACCTGTATGCATGCACGCACCAATAAATGGATGCTTTAGTTTTTACTCTAGACCCCAGACTTATAAGGTGATTTCAATACATAATTACTTTTATTTTTGCATGTACATTTTACATTTGATTCCTTGGGGAACAGTCTAGGAGTAAGCTACTGGAATTCAGTTACAAAGGTCTCCTAGTCTGAGACCAGCTGTATCCAATGCAAATTTTTCTGTATGTTTTTTCTTCTCTCACCCATGACAAAGGTAACAAATTCTGAATGTGAAGAATATCAAGCTCCGACTTTTATTTAAAGCCAACATTAAACTGCAGGTATTCGCTGATGGACATATCAATGATTATGCAATGTAGCTTGCATCATAAATAACCCAATTTCAGAAATGGACTCCGCCACTGAAAGGCTAGATATCATCAGGCCAGATGATAAGTGATGGCATCACAACATTTTCTTTCTCACATTTTGTAATCCATTTTGCCCTTCATTAAAGTGTCACACTACATGGCCCTGGAACACTATTCAAATGACCAAAGTATAAAATTATTTGGAAAAGATCATGTTGAGACTCTCTTAGCCTTTCATCGTGCTGGGTAAAGCTTAATATTAATTAGTACACAAGAAGTTAGAATGTTTTAACATCTATGCTTCATAAAAACTGAACTAGATCAAAATGGAACACCGTGAAGTATTAAAAATTATATCCACAGAGACAAACATGGTGTATGTGAAAATAAAAATAACCATGATACATAAAAAATTTTAAATATAACTGAATTTTGTGTAAAAATACTCACCCCCATCCATCGTTGTTCCATTTGCTTCTTTGGACCAGTTCCCACACTGCTTTGTATAGTAACTGCATGCAGAAACCTGCAACAGTCAACAGAGGGCATATCATCTTCATAACAATTTTCTTAAATTTCATGCTTTCTATTGTAAAGTGTAGCAAATGTAACTTATTTCCTGAAATTTCAATCTTGATTAATAAAATTAAAAAATGTTAAACAATCCTGTTCTGTGCTTTTGAATGTTAATCACACACAAGTGCAAAAAGAGGTAAAGTTGTCTCTGTGCTTAACTAATTAAGCACTGCACCTTGAAGATATAAAGGGGAGAGAACATAAAGATCAATATATTCTTGACCTAGGTACTAGTTGGAGATGTGTGGTCAGCTCCACACCCGAGCCGCTTTACCCCTGGGAAAAGAGCCCCTCCCACCCATTGGATAGGAGGCTGGGTGGAACTCAGAACCAGTCTTGATGATGTGGAGAGGATAAATATCTTACCCCTACCAGGACTTGAACTCTGGACCCTTTGACTGTCCAGCCCATAGCCAGTCACTATATTGACTGCATTACCCCAGCTCATGGTAATGAAAATAACTGACACCAAAAACAGTTCATTAAAATACATTATACCGTGAATCACAAGCACTTCAGTGCAAGATGCAACAACAGAACAGTAGCACTCCAGTATGAGGTGCATAAGAAAGTTCCTGGACTAGATAAAAAAATGCTGGCTTAACTTACTCAATTTTGGCTGCCATCTTCAAAATAGTCTCCTTGGGAATGTATACAGTGATCCCATCATTTTTTCCATTCTTCAAAGCACTGTGGAAGTCATTTGCCTTACTGGTGTTGAGTACAGCTTGCGATTCCCTTTGGATGTCAGACACTGTTTCAAGACGTTGTTTCTTCAGTTTCATTTTCAGTTTGGGAAACAAAGCAAAATAACAGAGGGCTAAGTCTGGCAAGTAAAGAACGATAACCATGTGGTTGTTAGCCACCAACTCTGTAATTTTCATGAATGTGTGGGCGGGTGTGTTGTCATGATGAAGGAGCCACTTGTGGTTGCTCCAAAGTTCCAGTCTCTTTTTGTTGCACATTTTCTCTCAAGCTTCTCCAAATGTCACAGTAAAAGTCAGAGCCGACCGCAGTGTTAGGAGGAACAAATTCAAGGTGAACAATCTCCTTCACGTTGAAAAAAACAAAACAATGAGCACGCTCTTTGTTGAACTCTGGACATGCCATGTCCTTTTTACTCTTGATGACTGTGGGCTCTTCCACTGCAATGACTGTTGCTTTGTTTCTGAATCATGACCATAAATCCATCTTCTGTCACCTGTTATGATCCTAGAGATATGAGTAAAAGTTTGGTTCTCACTAGCCTTCACTCATAGCTCAAGACACACATTTACGTGCTGATACTTTTGACCATTTGTCAAGAGTCGGGGAACAAGCTTCATTGCAGTGCTGTGCCAGTTCAAATTTTCTGTTAAGATCTCCTGGCAAACTCCACAACGTGACCCCAACAGTGTCTGTGAGCTCATGGATTGTTCAGCAGTGGTCTTCATGGATGAGTTCTTGAATTTTTTCAACAAATTCTGTTGTTTTGCTGGTGCTTGGTTGCCCTGAACGTTCATCATTTTTCAACTGACACTCAACTGGACTTGAAACATGAATGCTGTTCAAAAACCACTGTCTGGCTCAAAGAATGTTCTCCAAAAGCCTCACGGAGCATTTCAAGGGTTTTGGTAGCAGATTTACTGAGCTTCATGTAAAATTTGATGCAGACACATTGCTCAATTTTGCCATCCATCGCAGACACAAAGTAGAAAAAGCACTTGTGTAAAAACAATATGTTTTCAGAGCATGGTGTCATGTGGCAGACTGGTGCAATAGGCCTTTAGAAGTTTGACCTTGGCTTCCCCTCTCATCTTCTTTCATCAAGGCAGTTACAACAATAACAGTCTGGGAACTTTCTGCTAGCACCTTGTATAATGTCTGAATAAAAAACCGATGTTAAGACCTTAGATGGTTACTGATGTCAAGACAATAATTACTCCAAATAATGATGAAGGCTACAGGTGTTACCAGAGATTGGATCTGCAATTCCGATTCAGCAGTGCAAGCAATTTCAGGGCTATTAAATTAGTTGAGCACCAGTCAAGATGTAGAAGCAACACAACTCAGTGTAAAGACGACATGTTGTGATGATGAGGAAAATCAATGTAACATTGAAGACACATTGGGGGTTTAATATGCAGTTGGTGGCAGCAGCAGAAGCCCCCCCCCCAAAAATGATGGGAAAGTATGGATCAGCACCACTGTGGTGAAGCTGTCAAAGTTTGATAGATCCACATCCCAAACAGCATTTTACTGCAAGTTTTGAGCTGTGGCTGATCACAGTGATTAGGCTGCTTGTCAGTAGGCCAAGCACCTACTCATCATGCTGCAGGGTTAAGCTGCCTGCACTGTCCAGTGTCTCAGTTGGAGCAATATACAAGGATGTAAGTCAAGGTGCTTAAGGGCCATTATGGAGACTACTACTGGTGACAGCCTACTGGTCCCAACTCATTTCCAGGACTCAGTTCTGCAGGAATTCATGGCAGCCATCGAAGAGCTACCTCACCAGGCCCTTGTCATGTTATCTGAGGACTAAATTCAGATGGGGCAGCCTATGCATTTGTCAACAGAGTGGAGGACTGGGTAGTGAAGCAGCACTTCCTCAAGGGTGGCAGAAGGTTGCTGAACAAAGCCCGCGAATAGCGCTTAAAGTTAGAGGCTGCAAAGTGGGTAGCTAGACCACACAGGGTGCAAGATGTAAAGGCATGAACCCCCATGCTATAAAACATTAATTATACAACTGTTATGGACACTTATTTTTAACAGACCCGTAATTTCTTATTCAAATATAAATGCAGCCAGATTTATGGCAAGATTAACAGCACCACATTCATGCATTCATTTGCAATAACTGTTACTGAGATATTATCTGAATAAATAGATATGGTTCTATTTAAAATAAAGTTGACTTTTGTATCTCTATAAAAAATGTCCAAAATTTATGTTTTATGGCATATAAAATAGCTCACTGGACACTGCAGGAATCCGTTCGTAAAAGAATTCATGTTGAAATAAAAGAATTATTTTAGGTTGCATTCTTAGGTGGGTCATTCTGCAAGCAAGAATGCACACGCACAATGAACAAACAATGCACTGCACTTATTTATGTATGGGTCACTATTGCAAACCATTCACCCACTAACATTTTAGAAGTAAATGAATTTTCTACAATTTCTTGTGCATAGGCCACTGTGTAGTCTTATACTTGGTGGATTTTTCATTAATCATACGCACCATCCATGACTGTTTGGTCATGTATGTTAGTGGCCATCAGCATTATAAAGCCACACTCCTAAATTTCAGCTCAGCAACACAGAGAAAGCCAAAAGCACAGAAATGTTATTCACCACTAGCTAAAGGAAAGGAAGTTGGCATGGGGTAGATGTTTACAATGACCTGTAATAGGCCTGTGATAGTCCTGTGATGATATGCATCACCAGTGCACTTCATTTGTCACCAGGTTAAGATTCATAAAAATTATGCTGATGAAGAAAGAGTATGATCTGTGCTGCCAGGCCCACAGCATGGGGGATTTAAATCCCCTGAATCCATATGATAAAGTTTAATTCATGACCAACACTAATGGTATTGGACTTTATGTACAAAACTTACCTTAAAACGATATGTTGTGGCAGCCTGTAAGTCTGTGAACAGGAAGAGGTTCATAGATTGTTCAGGGTGAAATGCTTCTTTTGTTGTACTGTTGTTCTGGACAATTAACATGTAATAGTGAACATGATCCCTCATTTCCTCTGGTGGCTGTGACCAACCAATTGTGATGGAGTTGAGTGTTACTCCTTTTACTGATATCTCTGGCACAAAGTAGGGATCTAAAAAGAGTAGAAAATAATTAGTACACAATGGTTCATGCAGCTGACACTGAAAATACTTCAATAACAGTTTCACATTTGCACAAAATATGAGTTCCTGAAACATATGAAATGTTACAGGCCTGCCACACACATTCTAACTTTAATTATGTGAAAATACAAACAATTTTCCTAGAATTTCCCACTTGACAAATACCAACCTGACACACAAACAACACATACTTACGAAACCTGTCTTTAAAAAAATTGTGTAAGAAATCAAAGTCACAATGTTCTCATAAGAATTCCAAATAACTTCATGGCAATCAGAAATCCAAGTCACATTACAGCCTCCATGACACACATACTGTTAATTACTCCCACAGGTTTCACGCAAAACACAGGATTCTGTCACATCATTGCCTTCAACCAATGTGAACATTTCTGCATTACAGACCTTAAATAATTATGGTACAGATTTAAACCCCAAGTATACAGCAGAATGGGGCTAGAATTCATTTATGGACATTGTTTCATGCAAGCTTTCATAAAAACAATGATATCAAGAACTACTGCAGCAAAATCGACAAAACAAAAAGCACGTGACTTCAGATTAAATGAAAAGAATACAACAAAATGGGTCAAATTATATGACATTAGTATCCTCTATGCCAAACACAAAATCGCTTTCTTAACTGTTTTAATTGCTACACTGCATCCTAGTTCCTTCTTCTCTGGGACTGACAGAAAAACAAAAAACAACTTCAAAACAGTCAGTGTCCTGGCCAAGACTGGATCAGGGTGCATATCAGACACAAGTAAGAAGTGTTACCATTTGAGCTATAAGCAAACCATGAAGATTTACCAATTCACTGGTCACATTAAAGTGCATGAGTGTAAGAAACATAATACAGACTCGGATTCACAGCTGCATACTAGTGATAACAGACTGTCAATACCCCGTCCAAACAGAATGCTGCATTATAGCAGATCTTATTGAGCAAAGTCTGATAGGGTAATCAATTCTGCACCCACTTCAGGGACCTCAGGTTTTATTGAAAATTATGCAGGGTGGTCCCTTTAAGAACGTCACAGACAGTAAAAGTTAATCTAAAACAATTCTTGCCTCTATTATGCACTTTGCCACATAGGATACAAATTTCCTGGAATATAAATGGATGTTCTCCCCAAACTGTCACACACTTATTAGTCTCTTTAGTGTACATGACACCTGTTTAATCAAACATTAGCTTCACACTCAAACTGCAAGAATGAAGAAATCTGCATAGACTGAGCATGTCTTAATATTAGAGTCAATTTTACTGACCACACAACATATTTTTATTATTATTACACTACATGTTTTGACCTCAAGAGGTCATCCTCAGGTGTACGAACACAGCTGTATAATTACACGCAATCACATTCGTCTTCTCACTTATTCGATCCTGTATCTTATTCAGGCTCACGCTCAATGGTCGGTAAAATTGACTCTAATATTGATTAAATACACAACAGGATGCAAGAAACAATTAAAGTGAGCATGTCTTACTTTTATGTGGTCTTCCATGATCACAAAACGTGATTTAACCTTTGTCTAAGAAGCACAATTACCATATATATATGTAGTAATGTTCAATATTGATATTAATACCAGTCTATACTTCACACAAGTTCTCAACATTCACCACAAAAGATTACTGTGCATCACAAAGTCAAGTAATGTTTGGCAGCTGCATCATACCACAAAGCTTGTACACTCATGGAGTACCCAAAGGCAGTGTTTGCTACCAGCTTCAAATTCTCTAACTGGGCAATAGTAAAGAATTCAAAAGACAGAATCACATTTAAAGGATTCTGTACCTTTATTAACACTTTCACTACCAGCACCTCTGCAACCGGTTTACTACAAAGCCCACCATTTTTAGTACACTAGCAGTTAACAGTACTTCAGATAAGGAAATGAATAGCAAACACTATACTAACTAATTTCATGGCGTTGAGCCTGTCTTGAGTAACCACCAGCTGTGCAGCTACTCAAGAACTTCCCAACATTTTATGGAACCCAAAGGTTCATTATTGTGTTCACAAGAGCCCTCCACTGTCCCTTATACTGAGCCAGACGAAGCCAGTCTACACCACCCTATCCTATCTAAGATCCATTTTAATACTGTCCACCCACTCACATCTTGGTCTTCTGGCTTTCCCACCAATATCCTATATGCATTCCTCTTTGCCCCACATTCATGCTACATGCCCTACCATCCCATCCTCCTTGACATGAGCATTCTAATTATACTTGGTGAAGAGTGCAAATTATGAAGTTTGTAATTATGTAGTCTTCTTCAATCTCCTGTCAGTTCACCTCTTTTCAATCCAAGTAGTCTCCTCAGTACCCTGTTCTCAAACACCTTCAGTCTGTGTTCCTCCTTTAATGTCAGAGACAAATTTTCACACCCATACAGAACTATAGGCAAAATTACACATTTATATCTTTTAATTTTTACGTTTTTAGACGACAACAAGATAATAGGTTCTGGACTGCATGGTAGCAATTATTACCCAAATTCATTCTCCTCTTAATTACCTCCTGCTTCAAATTTTGATCTGTTATTATCGTTCACAAATATCTGAATTGTGCCACACTTTCAAATGACCTGTTAGCTATCTTTATGTCATGACTTTACCCTGCATTATGGCAACAAGACAGCAACATATACTTAAGTTTTCTTTATGGTATGTATGTTATCTCTGAGTAGATTCAGATCATCAACATAGACCAGCAGCTGATTGGTCCCATTTCATTTCAGCCCCACCTGGTTTTCCTGGACCTTCCTATTGGCATATTCTAAAGCAAAGTTGAAAATCAGTGGTGATAATCTCCTTGACTGAGACCATTTTGGATAGGAAAATTATCAGAAAAATGTTTAACTAGACAGGCTTTACTACACATTTCATTTAAACACATTTTAATCAGCCTAACTAGTTTCATGCCTATCCCAACCTCTATAAGAACATTGTACAATACTTCTCTCCTAAATGAATCATAGGGTTTCTTGAAGTCTGTGAATAGATGACGTACTGTTTCATTGTACTCCCAAACACACTATCTACATATGAAAAAAAAATTAAAATGTGGCTACAAGCACAATTAAGTAACATAGGAAGAAACTACTTGCTCAGAGCTCTCAGAAGGAAAAACTATAGACATTGTCAAGGGACTGCCTTGAATGACTGAATTCCTATAGCATATATAGTTTGGAAACAGCACCTGTAAACAACCAAGCTCATTTACTTACAAGCTACCTGAGTGATGATGATAAAAGAATACCTGACAAAAGCTAAAGTGGACTTGGATGTACATGGTAGTTGGATTTGTCCAGAGTTGGTTGGTGACCATCAGAGACAAAAGTGACCATTGTGTCTTCCTGGTCATCCATTTGTGAGAGCATGTTAAGTCAACATATGTGACAAAATTAATGTATAATCATGACATTTTCCAGAAAAGGTTGATGAATACTATAAAAACATCAGTCAGTATAACCGATCTCAGGACTGAAATTCACACCTGGGACCTCCTGGAAATGTGGCATAAGTACTAACTACCTGAACACAGCTTTTAGTTAGTTCATTGTAGAACCTTTTTTTTTTAATCAAATGTAAGCTAAGCCACTTTGCAAACATCTAATACAATTCTGGATAACTGTATCTGGAAACAAGTTCCAAGAAGCATATAAAATTAGGAAAAATTGTAGAAACATGGCACTCTCAAAATTTTCCAAGAGAAGATGTGATTGAAATAATGGGTTATATCTTAAGTTCCATTCTTGAAAACAGAGTATATGTATACATGATGGTCATTCCTTACTTACCAACAAAAGAATTAAAAACATATATTATGACATAAGTTCTTGGCACATATTTCAGAACATCTTGTCCACTTAGACTTTTGTTGTATATGAGAACTGATTATGAATCAAGGACTGTTATTTTAACAGGGGAAAGAAAATGAAGCAACACTAATTATTTTATTTTTGTTTTCATCTTCCTCTATCAGACCCAACTTTTATGACAATGGTCCACAGACTTGCCTATTTGCCTGTATTAATAGTTTTGTTTTTGTCTCAGAATTCCCTCCACCATGAGCACATTCTTTTTTACCAAATATTAATTGCAAATATTTTTTCTTACAATGCTCTCATCAAATTAATCAGTACTTATACATATAAGGATAGTCACAGCAGCTGAGTGGTCTAAGGCATGTACTCTCTTCGTTCGCTTGGAAGCCAGGATCACGGATTTGAATCTCACTCAGGGCAAGGATGTTCATTGTTTGTATGTGAGTGTGTGTTTACCTGTGTTTGCATGCAGGTAGAGGCCTTGCAATGAGCTGATCACCTGCCCAAGAGTCCTACCGAATGTCTAAGATCTAGTAAACCAAAGTGAAACGGAGAGTTTCATGGAGGTAGGCCAAGGTCCAAAATTGGGGCTGTAGTGTCATAGGAATGGGGGGTCAGGAAACACATAAGTTCCATTATTCTTATGTTTCTTGATCAGTACTGTGAAAGAAGGTTTGGCTCTTGAAGAAAGCTGCTTTACTTCTACTGCAGTTCTTTTTATAAACTGCAACAACTCACGACTATTTTTAAAAACTTATCAGAGGCATGAAGCAATCAGATAAAAGGCATTTCTCTTACCTTTATCAAGAGTCCGTACCCATCCCTGCCATGTATTCATATTTCCCATACCCATGGCATTCTTAGCACTGAGCCGAATCTCATATGCTGTGTTGTTATCAAGGTTTCTTATAACATAGCTTGTGTTGCCTCCACCAATTTGTTCTGGGTAATAGGTCCATGAGCCTGTAGCATTCTTCATGTGCTAGACAAAAGCACAAACATTTTGTTATAACTCCAAGCTTATTTTTTATTTATGGGTTTTTAATCAATGACAAGTATACGCACAACTAATGAAATGAAAATAAATTTAGAGTGTAAGCACTAATTATCAGTAACAAGAATATAATCACCAAAACACTATAACCATATTTATCTGGAGTTACACCCCAGAAGACAGAACTCTTCATAACCATAAATGTAAACCTCAAATCCTACACAATCTCTCTTTATTTAACATTATAAACTTGATTATTGTTGACTAATACTCACAAGCAATATATATACGATGAAACTTTCACCGTACACACTGTGAGCAATTTGCTTCCGGACTAGCTACATTATGACACTAGTACAACTGATATAAAACTCTTCTGTTAGGTGCATAAGAGTAGAATCTGCTGAGTCATTTTTTCAAAACTTTAGCTTCTGTCAATCAGAAGTAACACTTTGTGAAGTGAGGTGGTATGCTGTGCCCTCTGCAAGTTGCATTTTATCAGAAAATGGCATATTTTGAAGAACAATGGTGTGAATCAAATTCTGCTTAAAAACAGACAGAACTCAGACCTGGTAAGGCTGCTGCTTCCCTACTTCCTGCATCAGGTGGCAATTTCTCAGTAATTCACATTGCAACTTATGTTTATAACAATGTAACATGCAATCTGTCTGGTAGATTTTGTTCAACTTTTTGGTCTTCATCTTGCAACAAGTCTAATAGTGTCTGAGTGACTGATAGCTTGTGATACACTACTCTTAGTGCAGAGAAAACCTGTTCTAGCCAACATAATGGTCACACTGATGAGGAAGCTTCTGTGTGTTCATCTCACTGAGATACTGTTTTGTATCTCTGACTTCAACAGACCCATTAGTGCCTGGCACCTATCAAAAAATATTGACTGCCTTTCAAAAACAGCATGGCATGTAAAGCAGTCTGCTGTGGAAAACTCAGGAACTCTTTCTACAGTGAACACCAAAATAATATATTTACCTGAATAAAGTATTCTTGTATTGGCTGATTTCCATCATTCACTGTCCAATTCATGAAGATTCTATTCCTTCCAACTGCCTTTATGAAGTCTATTTTTACAAGAGGTTTGTCTGGAAAGAAGACACAATGAAGTATTTATAGTGAAGAACAGAATGGTATAATGAATATCTGGGAAAACCTGATATCCTATATAAATAAATTCCCCACCACAAATTTATCAGCTGCACATACCATGAGAAGTACTGTAACATGATCCTCTAAACCTAACATCATGAAAAGAGCTGCTGAAATCAGGCTCACCATTACATCACACAGGAGTCAAGAAGTTGGCTATGGATTGGCCAGGTATTCTGAGAGATGTCTGGTTGAAGACATGGTTATGAGGTGCAAACTTCCCCCTTGCTCTCTCAAAACTAAGTACAGCAAATGAATCACCACTCTACATTAATGCATTCAGTTAAACAGGGCAGAAAAATCTCAACATCAAATCACATTTTAAAACCTTCCCATACAGAATTTCCTACTGAATCTTTGAATTTGTTTAGAAGAGCCAGTGAACTGGGGTCTTATCTTTCCATGACACAGATAGTTCCACTATCATGAAGTTAACGTAACACATAATCCCGTTTGAATTTTCAAAATATGTAAATAAATAAATAATGTGCACAAACTCATGAATTACATGCTTCTAAATTTTTCATTTTATTATACTGTTGCATCATGCTGCACATCACTTAAGGGGCCTATACATGTACGAGTCTGGCTTACGAGTCCGACTTGGCTCGGGTTCCAATGAGCCAAGCTCGTCTGTGTGTGGCTCGCAAAGTTGGGAATCAGCTCATGTGTTTGTGGTGAAATTAATCTGAGCCCTGCTCCTGAGTCAAGCTCGCTGAGCCGGACTTGTATGTGTATGGGACCCTTTAGTATTGTAACATGTTGAGCAACGGAGAACCCCTCCCTACCCAGCAGCAACGTGGCAACTCAGGCCACAGGCGCAAGGCGGTAACGTAGCGCTCCCTCCCGCCCCTCCGCGGTGATGTAACGTGCAACGCTACGTACCCGTAATCAACTTCCTACTGTGACGTGGCCCGCAACAGGCACCACTGCGGCTATATAAGGGAACTGCACAGCAGCTACCAGTCAGTTGTAAAGTAACAGTCGCCGAGTCAGTTGTATTGTGACAGCCACCGAGTTATAACGTGGCCATCACCGAAGATAGTTCCGAGCAAGCCTACGAGCTAGTGTGTTATCAACAGTTCTTCAGTCAGCCGACAACAGCTGGAGTATAGCAGCCGTCGCAGAAAGAAGAACCGGACGTGTGTGTGATTGTGTAATTGGGAGTGTGTGATACAGTGATACATAGCTCCCCTACTGTATATGTGTAGACTACTGAAGACAGAGTGAGCTGATTTGCGCATAGGGTTATAAATCGTGAAACCCCGCATCAGTGGTAACAGATTAATGCGATTAGGGTTATAAAGTGTGAAACCCCGCAACTGTGTGATAAGTAATTGTAGCCGTTACTTGTAGATTGTTCAATAAACCAATTAACGATCTCTACGGCGTCTTCAGTAACGCAAACACATTACAGTATCAAATGTCACTGAGTCCACCGTCTCACATGCAACATGTCTTTCTGTAGAATTTATTAAAGGTTAGTGATTTTAAAAGTTCTGCACATCATATATCTTTTAATTTTTCACCACCTGTTTTGGCCAATATGGTAATCATTAGGTGTTTAAAATTATAGTTGAGGAAACTGCTGTGCTTGTTATCGAGGCTTCAGTTGTTAATTTCTTTTTAATGTGTGGTCCCCTCTACGCACATGTGTATTCCAAATGGCGGGATGTTCTTCCTGTTGTACTGTATGTCCTTTTTATGGAAGTGAAAAGTGCAACAGGATGCTACAATATAATACGGTGACATAAAAGCTGTTCAGTAAACACTAATGGTCTTCATATTCAACTCATCAAAATGAAGAATGGATGACAAAATATGCGGCGGTGGCAGCAGCGGCGGCGACGACGACGACGATGATGATGACGATGACAACAACAAAATAGAAGAAACCGTTCTAGCTTCACAGGACCAGCAGACTTAAAATATCAAATACCACAAGTTCAGACACATAATGCTTTTCTTTAAAGTCTGCAGTCCAGGCAACAATATTAGCACACGTATGACTGACTACAGATGGGTTTGGATTGGAGATTGGATTTACTGACCACTTCAACACAAAACTCATGACTGCACTTAATTACAGCACCATTGCTATCTCCACACTTTACAAATCAGTACAACATGTGCTACGTCTTTTCATTCTGCTGTGGCTTCACCAGTTGTTCCATGGTAACAGCTTCTAACAGCGGGGGTTCCTTAGCTTCCATGCTCACTTTGTTGCCTGCTGGCTCTCAACTGCAATGACTGTCTTCTCTTCACATACTCCCTTACAACTGACTAACTTCTAACTTGTTTCAGTTACAATATCTCGGTATGGACTGTGCAGAAAACACTGTTTACAACAGTCTTTACTATTGTGCATGAATTTGCTGTGGGAATCTTGTTTCATGGTCACTACCTAGTAATGGGTCTACAAACTACATTCCCCTCTCCTTAAAGCTATTCATCCCGAATAGCCTACCCAAGGTACTGCCATTTCTTCTTTCCCCGAGGGTTGGGCTTGTGATTTCTGTGGTTGGTCTCACCTTCTTTCCTTGGCGCTGTTCTCATGGAGATTACTCTCCAATCATTCCTGCTATGCCCCTCCTTAAGGCCACTCGTACTGAGCACTGACCTCAAAAGGTGCCAGTTGGTCCAGGTTTACTACCATCATCCTTCTTTTGGTCAAAGTGGGCAAAACTAGCGAGAGTGGCCGGTACTCCTACATCTCCAGCTTTTACTGTGTGCCATCTCTTCTTTCATTTAGGAGGGGGAGAGGGGCAGCCCCACCCCTCTACAATGTCCAGTCACTCATTTTTCACAGTGCAATGGAAGTTCTGACTATTTGTTTTGTGACCTCCTGCCTAAGTTCTTCCTGAAGATCCTGCTGGATGTCCTCTCCTTCCTGAGACATAGCTGCTCCTTTAAGTCTCAGCCCCAGCCCCATTTTCCACTGCTGCATTCCTGGCACATCTGTTGTCTCCTTTTGAGCATGTCCTTTAGGGGCTCCTCTTGCAAAACTGTCCCTGCCTGGTCCTTGTCAACTGTGTCCCACGTGTGGTGCAGGAATGGCATAGTGGGTCATCCCTCTTCAGGCAGCAGCCAACTTCTTCCAGGCCCCACCAGTGACTTGGGTCCATTTCTTCAGCTGTTAGCTGAGCCCTATGGCTAGATGCCTCCAAATCCATGGTCTTCATCTTCTTCAACCTTTCTTCAAAGACATCCACCGTGGCTTCCATTTCCACTAGGTGGGAGTCCATCCCAGGCATCATCCTTTCGTGATGGGCATCTAACTTGGCATACATCCCTTCTTGGATGGTGTCTATCTTGGCTTTGTTGGATTTTATGTCTTCTTTCATTTCCTTCTGGTTGGTTCTTTTTTCAGCCAGCAGGCGTGCCATCGCTTGTTCCATTTCCATTACAGTTTCTTACTGTGGTCTCCACATGAAGTGTTGGGCTGTGATTCCAATCCAACAATTCCTGACACCAGTTGTCATGTGTATCAGTGACTATAGATGGGGTTTGCATTGAGAACTGGATTTGTTGACCACTTTAACACACAACTCATATCTACACTTAATTATAGTGCCATCACTAATCTCCATACTTTGCAAATCACTACAGCACACAATAAGTCTTTTCAGTCATTCCTTGGTAACAGCTTCTAACAGCTGAGATTGTTCAGCCTTTGCACTCACTTTGTTGGCCGCCGACTCTCAACTGCACCGACTAAGTCTTCTCTTCACAGACTCCCTTGTCTCAGCTATAACACGTCCGTACAGACTACACTTAAAACACTGTTTCCAACAGTTCCTCTATTGTTGATCATGTACTCATTGTCGATGGGACCTGTCTGTTATGTGGTGGCTAACACATAATGGATCTACACACTACAATATTTAACATATATACAGCACACCTCACATCTTTGAAAGAATGTGCTAAAAAAGAAGTATCCATATGAACCCTATTTTCTCACTCACTCTCAACTGAAAAACAGAGATGCATTCCTATGGAAATTTCCTTTGTCCATGTTTTGACAAAAACATGCTACCTTTAAAAAAAAAGGTTAGGCTGTCCCTGTAACAGGACATGAAGGCCCATAGGGGTATGAGAGGTCGAGGCTCCCACATCTTCAAGACAATTGGCTCACAGCTGGCGGTAAGGTTGTCAGCCTTATGCGCCCACCACCCTTTACCCCTCAGGAATCTTTTTGGTACTCATATCAGGAATCGAACCCGCGTCCTTCCGCTTGTAGCATAGTGCTTCAACGAACTACACTACTGTGTACCCTATTACATCACCTATACATGCTGTATCTCAAGTTATTCTATCTTAAATAAGGGTAATACATTGTACAAGTTAAAATAAGGCAGGACAGCAACCACACTACTTACCATCTCTTTATGTTACTGATGCATGCGTACAGGCTAGCCTATGACACTGCACATCATGTATATTACTGACACATGCACATCTATGACCTGAATTTCTCAACAAATAATCTGCTCTTAGAAAAATTGTTCTGAATTTTGTATTTAAAAAGTCTTTAATACTTATCCAAAATTTCTTTACAGGAGAATTTACAGTCAGTATCACAAATTTTATGGTCATGCTTTAAAATTCCTGTAAGGGTGAAATCCCATTAAGGAATATTAACAAAGCACTGCACTTTATACAATATATTTGTGGTTTATTTTATGACACTGTCAGCAGTTCTAGATTTAGAGCATCCAAAGCAGAATTATGAGTAAATAATTGAGTAAAAATGATGTGGAAGGAAGTGGTTGTGGCCTAATTTGAAATAATATCCTGGCATCTGCCTGGAGGGTTCAAGTAAAACATCAGAAACTTGCTCTGGATAACTGGTTTCCAGGCACAGATTAAACATGGGACCCCAAAAATAGGAAACAGAAGTGCTACCCACTTGACATTAGATTATACAGTAACAAAATGCTGTACCTAAAACTAACAGATGTACATCTTTGCTCACTTCACCCTGTGATCCAAATGCTATGCAGCGGTATGTTCCATTGTCCTTGCGACTTACAGGTCCCAGACGCAACTTTGACTCTACAAGAGTATCATTAATTTGGTTGACATCACTGCTGAGCCTGGAAAAAAATTTCTTTACAATAAAGCACTTTCATGAACATGCCACTCTAAAACAAACTTTAAAGAACTGATACCAGATTTGAGGTTTTTACAGTGAAAAAGATTCATATTGTGATCTAGTTATGACACTGTGGGGCCATGCAGTAGCGTAGTTGATTGAGGTTCTATGCTACAAGCTGGAAGGGCAAAGAGTGGCAGGGCCGTTGGCCGGTTCATAGGGCTAACACCTCAGCACCATCTGTGAGCTGTCTAGAAAATGTGGGAATCTTGACTCGCAATCCTATGGGCCTCCACAGCCTGTTACAGGGATAGTTTTACCTTTTACCCTTTTTATGACACTGTGTAGTCTAATATGTGGGCACCAAAATTTTTGAGGAACATACTGCTTCCATCCTCCACCCTGAAGATGGAGGCAATATTTTCTTCAAGAAAGGTCGATATACAAAAGATTGCTGTGTGGATTTGAAAAAACTGCCTATACAGTTTCAAGGTTAGGAAGATTACAACTGCAGTGAAATCCTAAGTGAAGATAAACAGTAAATAAAAATTGTATTTTAATGAACTTAATTTTCACATAATTAACATACATAAACAGGTTCTGCAAAGGTCTGTTACTTTTAATCTGTTTGTACAACAAACATTTCTGGTTTTCTCTGCAATTTCAATCTGCTTCACTGAAAAAATTCTCAATGTTTCAAATTTCTACTATAAATTTCAGACAACAGGTAAAAGAGAGAGGCATATAAATTTGACCAGGCCTATGATTTTCTTAAAAACTATATTGCTGAGACAGTTCATTACCTTTAAGTATAATGTAGGCTTCATGATATACCAGCAGTTCAGTTGTCATGGCAACGCACAACAGTAAGAAACAAGATGGTGCCTGTATGTGTTCCTACTAAAATGTAACTGACTCCATGAGAAGCTAGCAGTTATTCAACTAGTTAGAAAATTCCCAGCATTTTTTGGAATCTGTAGGTTCATTACTGTACACACAAGAACCTAACACCTGTCCATATTCTGACCCAAATTAATCAAGTTCACACCTGCCCATCATTTTTTAAGATCTATTTTAATACAGGCACATCATTTGCTCACTGGGATGAAGCATGGCCTTTCCACTAAGTGCACACAGTGTTCATATTTCATATTTTATTTATTCACCTTCCATAAATCCTGTCGAGTACATTCTCATGCGGATGTGAAGATCATCCTTCTTACAGTCATAACTAAGGATTACACTTGTCATCCAATACCATGCACATTTGTATAAAATACTGATAAACATGTACAATATAATGCTGACTCCCACATCTTCTGGATGGTTGACTGTGGTAATAGTGAGAGTGCAGCAACTTTGTTTAGTGAAGTTTATGTGCCTATGTTACAGGAGATGCTGAAAATGTTTCCCGTCAACAGATTCTGGCTAACACACTGTAACTGTTCTCTATATAATATATAGGTCACTTCAAGCAACACACTTTCAGAGTTCTTCCATGTGTACATTAGTTCAAAAGGCTATCCTTTTCACAGGGCAATGTCAGGAGAATCAAATGGCACAAACAGTAACCTATGACCCTCAGAACAAGCACTATATTCAAGGTTTCTGCAGTATGTGCAGTTGCATGATCCTGTTAGAAATAGTAAATGTTTCTGCATAAAACAAAGGGTCAATATCCTCAGCACACTCAAGGCAACCTGAATACCAACTTCTACATCATGGAGAGGAATTTCATGTATCAAGTTTTGGGTTTTAATATCTGTGAATTTGCGTGTTCACATGTTCACTCCAATAAACCATCATCGGAAATAGATATCAATTCAAGATCAAGATTGCTATCATAAAACAACAAAGAAAGCAGTCACAGAAATGAAATATGGCAACTGAATCATATGGCTACAAAGAGTGGAAAATTGTGTTTTTTAAGTCTTTAGTTTCAATAATTTTGTGGTGGCACTACACTTCACATAAGTTGTACAAAAACACCCTACGCTTTAATGTAAACTTATCCAAGTCATACATAAAGGGAATCTAGCATATAACTGAGTCACATGTAAACAGAACTGAACATCCACTACCTCTTACCACCACAGCTGACTCATTCTGCAAATAACTGTCCTGTGTTATCTCTCACTGTACACAGAAAGAGTGGAACAACACAATATTATCAAATTTCTGTGTAACAAAGGTGTGCAATGCATCAGAGGCATAAAACACATATGACGGACCTAGTCTATTACGGTTTTTTCTGTTCTCTAGGTGCAAACCACTTATGTATCATCAGTGTCCAGAGACTTAAGTATATGAAGTCGGGCAAGCAACTGCAGTAAATGAACATGCCAAATGCATAGTCTGATGGCATCATTTGAAGTAACAAAAGAATATATATGTGTACACTAGTTCTGAAACTTAACATGCACCATAATAGCCTAGGATTCAGCAAAATCAGTATAAAATGGATTCCCAAACAATTATCGTAGGATCATCATCATCATCATCATCGTCGTCGTCGTCGTCGTCATCATCATCATCAAGGGATGTGACTTTTTTTAATGTAACATAACCACTGATGAGATGTGGCCCCTTACTTTTGAAATTTAGATACATAAATTCACCTCCTCTGAAGAAAATTCAAGAATGTCACATAAATAAGGCAATGACTGCTGTGTTCTGGGTTGCTAAAGGTGTTAGTCACATGGACTACTAGGAACAAGGCCCAAAATTAACCTTTAAGAGACGGGTCATTTAAATTCCGGTAATGGCAGCAGGCCAAGTTAATTTAAATGCCCGCCATTTTAGAGTATTAAAAATTGTAAGCATGTTACTGAAAATGCTGTGATTTCCACAATTTTTGTGATAAACGAACGAAATAAACGCTGCTTTTAGCTAGAAAGAATATAGAATCAGATATTGTAATTTACCGATTTTAAAATCTGTAAAAATTGTTACACTGATTCCAAAAGAATTTTTTCCCCAATTTTGAGCATCTGTCCACAAATTTGCATACAGTTTCTGCAGTATAAATGCATGCTGCTGACATCCTGTCTTACTGTGCTTTATCTGGCAAAAGGAGTGGAAGTTTATGTTTGTATTGCACATTCTCCAGTCAGTCGGAACCTTTCTGTATGCACGGGTGTGGCCGAAGTCTTATCGTATTTTGTCCTTCAGAAACTCTGATTGTGTATATCTAGGGCTAAAAACTCAGAGGTACTGTTCTCAGAATAGCCCCGCACTGCCAGAACGTTCAAGCCTAGCGCGTTGTTGTGTTGTGTATAAAACATCGCAATTTCAACTATCCACCATGGCCTCATTTCGCATGGAAGAAGCCGAAATTGTGAAGCAGCTGATAAATGACACCGATTCAGACTGTGGTACAGACGACTCTGAATGGGGCGAGGAAACAAGGGGCTCAGAAACTGAAGTTGACGAAGACCCAGCATCTTCGTCGGCAACCTGGGGACCACCAGACCAGCATGGCAGGAGGGGTGTGAATAATTATTCCAGTGGAGCTGTGGGGTTAAATATCAATGAAGCTCAACACCTAAATAAGGATTCCACCCCTTTCTGCGTTTTCATGCTCTACTTCACAGGGATTATCCATCTGCTGGTGGAAGAGACGAACAGGTACTACCACCAGTACCTAGTCAGACTTCAAGACGGACCTTCTCCATGGCCTGACGTGACCGATTCTGAGATATTTCTGTTTCTAGGAATAATAATTTAAATGGGACATGACATTAGAGACAGACTAAAGGACTACTGGTCAACTGTAGAACAATTTGTCATGCCTTTCTACTCTAACACAATGAAACGCGACCGTTTTCTTCACATTCTTCGTTTTCTTCATTTTGCAGACAATACAGAAACTGACAGGAATGCCGACAGTTATGACCGACTATGGAAAATTAGGACCATCTTCGACACCCTCAATGACGCATATGAAAAATATTATAACCCTTCCGAACATTTGGCCATAGACGAGATAATTGTTAAATTCAAAGGGAGGGTGGTTTTTAGGCAGTACATTCCTAAGGAACACAAATGTGTCAGAATCAAAATCTTAAAAATTTGTGATGCTGCTGGGTATACTTATGACATGAAGGTTTACCTGAGAAAAGACAGGACACGTGCTGACCAAGATGTGACAGCGACACATGCTACAGTTAGGGACCCATGCAGACGTACTGAGGACGTAGGTCACAAACTGTACATGGACAATTTCTTTTCGTCACCAGACTTGTTTGATAAACTGATGACAAAGGACATAACATGCTGTGGGACAGTCAGACCTCTGTTTCCTCAGGTCAAGTAAGTGAACCAACTTCATATAGCCATGAACATTAAGTGTGATAATATTAAAGTGCAAACCCCAGGGAGAGAAAGTGAAAACTAGATGGACTAGGTTTACTGAGAGAGATAGATAGAGGTATTTTGTACCCAACAGCACGGTGACAGGAGATAGAACTAATGTGTGTACTACAGGGTCATAACCAAATGTAATGCGAACTGACAAACGTTGGCAAAGTGTGTATATTATGTATATAGCGACAGAGGTGAACAGAGTAGGATATAAATGCGCTGTGATATTAATTAAACCTAGCATTCCCTCAAGTGTTACCCTCCTCTCTGACGACTCCAGCCCTCCCAAAGCTTTGGCGAACTGCGAGTTAAAGCCAGGACTAGTGACGTAAGCGATCGATAAGTTTACTTGAGTTTTTTTGACAGAATAAGATGGTGGCAGCATACTAAACCGGGTGACAGAGCGGGATACCTTCACGCCCCCTGTCACCACGGCGTAACAGGGGTGACAGCGGTGAGACAACCAATCCACCCCTGTCGCAGGAGCGTAACAGGCAGTTTCTGTGATGAAGATGGAAATGCCATCAAGCCAGCAATTGTTGTTGAGTACAACACGCACATGGGTTACGTTGACAAAGCGGACACAATGGCAAACAGTTATAGCATCAGTCGTCGGACCTGGAAACAGACAAATAAACTATTTTTCCATCTCCTGGATCTGACCTGAACAGTTTCATCCTGTTGTCATCCTGTGGTGCGAAATTGTCACACAGAGAATTTCGTCTCGCCCTTGTGCGCAACATGCTGGAACATGCTGCAAGGGGTCCACCTCGCCCTCAACGGTTCATGGGTCGACCTCCTGCTGTGTCATTGGCGATATCTCGATTAGAGGAGGCCACTCGACATCACTGGCTGACTTCCTCTAATAAGAGACTGAGGTGTCGTGTGTGCTCTTTGCATGGGAAACAGAGTTACATCCGGACAAAGTGCATGAAGTGCGACATTGGACTCTGCATTTCCGGATGTTTCCAACAGTACCACACGAAAGCAACATTCAGTTAGATGATGCAGGAGGGAAGACTGTCTACTTATAAAGCTGGTGCCCCAAAATAATGTAAGTGGAACAAGAATTTCTATCTTAAAATTAGATTTTAATACACTGTGTGCACACGTGGACTGCGCATACCCATACGGTGTCGCACGACCACTCAGCTATACTTTAAAGGTCTCCATACGGTGTCGCTAGGCTCTTAAAGGTTAATGTTGATTAGTACTCTGACCTCCAAAAACACTCCACAAAACCAGATCTAGAAAAGACGTGAAAAGGTCTTCTATCCAAAGATCTTTGCCTGATATAATTAATTTCATTGTGAACATACTGATCTGTAGTTAGTTAGTTAGTTAGTTATTGGAGAGGGTGGGTTTTCCCCATGCACTGAGACCTGTATTGGTCCACTGTTCTTCCCTCTATGATTTCTACCAGTCTCTATATCCTACCGGTACTGGTGCTTACCATCAGTCCCGCCCAGACAGCGAGACCGGCTCTACTAGCTGAGAGGTATCTATAATGCTTCCCCCATCTACCAGAGGTATTAGAGACTGCTGTTGGGCGCGAAACGTCCGTTAATTTGGCTCAGTGACCTCCTTTGGAGTTATAAAATTACTGGATCGTGGATAAGTTTTGGCATAACTCATACGTATATATTTATTTGCTGTTGTTCAGTTTGGTATTATTTTAATTACTCTATTAGGGTTTTACGCAAGTGTCTAGTAATTACTACATTTAAAAATAAATATTTAGGACTGTGCATGCGCTTCTACTAGCGGCGTGTGCGCGCGCTTCCACTAGCGGAATTTAAATGCCTGACTGGCCAAAAGAGGGTACTTTGGCCACGACGACCTTACTCATGACTGGCACAAATGGGGCACTTCGGCACTTAAGGGTTAAACTACTCAACTTTGTTACAGGTAATTTTATATTACTTTACTGTGTCTGAATCATGAACTTCTCTTCTTGTTTGGGTAGCTTCATGCAGGGAGATCACTTAATGGCCTGGAAATACAGCTTGAATGCTAGAAACAAGAAACTCTTATATAATTATGGTGGAAAAAATATCCTAACTAAACCACAGTATCAAAGAATGAGGTGCAGAAAGAAGAATTACATCAAAGTGAATCTTAGGGAAAAAGAAAGTGAAGATGTTGGTTCAGGCTAAGGTACTATGACAGATTTTATGCTGGTGGCACTGAACCTGTGGGTTGTTACTGGTGAAAAGAGTAAACAGGTAATGTCAAACCGTGACTGTGAGGAAGATCGTGAATGTTGAACTGGGAAGCACAAGAAGGAAATAAATGTGGCCTATTTCCTATTCCAGAATCTAGTCAAAGATAAATGAGGAAAATCATCAAACTGATCCTCCTCAGAATCACCAAGTATCTCTCATGGGCGCACAAACACTCATGAATGTTTATACATTATCAGTCATAAATCCTGCCAACAATTTTTAGTTCCAGACTGGGACAACTTTACAGACATAATGCTACCAATTTACTTGTGCTAGAGGCTACATCAATTTACATGCAGAAAAGTGAAATTATTTTTAAGCGACTGTAAATTGCAGGTGATCCTCCCTGTTGATGTAAAAATTAGGACTGTAAAGAAAAACCAGAGAACAAGTAACGGAGGAAATTTAAGTTAGCATCTTAGTCTGTATTTCTGTTTGGATAGTGTGCAAAATTTGTTAAATCATAACAATATTGTGGTTGTTTGGTTTAAGGCACTGTGATGTAAGTGGGTAACTACACTCTGGAGGAATGTATGTTGGTACCCCTACTATATGACAGCATGGCATTATGAGCCAAAAGTTCATAACATGAATTATCACCACCCTGAAAACCTCAAATCTTAAATAATAAGTTCACATATTAATTAACTTATTTCTAATCAAATAACTTACACCACATACACTACTGCAAATAGGAATATGATAAATCAATTTGGAGTAATTTTTTACTCAAGTGTATGAAATGTATCCATTACATAGCTTAAGTGAACCATTATATGTTAAATCTTACTTTTCAACACCACCATTAAGCTTCTGCCAATCGAAAACCTCTATAGGATAGCCATGAATACTGCAAGCCAGTTCTGCTGTTTTCCCCACTGCAATCTCCACTGAATTTCTTGCACTCAGCACCTTTGCTGGGACTGAAAAAGAAAATCCACAATGTGAGGATATGACAATATCAGGCAAAGTGATTACTTACAATGACAGTACTGGAACACAATATGATTCATTCATTCATCAGTAATCTGTCAAGATGACAGGTCCAGTCTCTTCCAAAACAGTTATATGCCTTTTTAAAATTATTTTTTCAAGGCTGCATAATGATAAGAATTCTCTGCCTCACTCAACATATTAAGTGTGGCCTAACATACGCAAGAGTATGAACAACATATGCCATAAACATCAACAAGACTCAAAGAAACATAATCTTTCAACCTTTTATCAAATGAGTGTTATGTATCCTGTTCTGAGCATGGGAGTAAATTTACTAAGTTACAGTTTATATTGGGATGCTGTAAGTAGATTAGACTAGACGGTTGAATGCTAAGATTGTTAGTGAATAATGAAATGAAAAGAATGAAGTGGCTGTTGCCTAATTGGAGGTAGTAACCCAGGATTTGCCTGGAGGAACTGAGGAAAACCACAAACCCCCAAATTAGGATAGTCGAATGAAACCTGGAATGTCCTGAATGCAAGCCAGAAGTGTTTTCACTTAGGTTAATTTGTTTACACACGAGTGAGGTTCTCAAAGTGAAATTATTTAAATGTAAATAGTCATATAAAGAAACCCAAATATAAGGGCTATTCAGAAAGTAACTTCGGTGAGCTGTAAGCAGTAAGAAAAACAAATTTTATTATATACAAAAAATATGTACATACTTAAGCTACTTCTCAGCATAGTCACAGCCAGAATTGAGGCACATGTCATATTGGAGAACAAGTTTTTGTATGCCTGTGTCAAAGAAGTCTGCCCCATGTGCGCTCAACTATGTTTTAACACCTTCCATCAACTCTTCATTATTGCTCAAGCTCTGTGATTGAAACCAGTTTTTCAGGTATGTAAACAGGCGGTATTCACTCGGAGCATGACCAGGGCTGTAAAAAGGATGGTCAAACAACTCCCACTTGAAATGTTCCAGCAGTGCTTGAGTACAAGCAGCCATATGGAGACATGCATTGTCATGCAGGAGCAATACACTGGATGTCAGCATTCTACGCTCTACGAAGTTTTTTAGCATTTTGCAATACACTTTTGATGTAGCTATGGTCCCTTGTTGCATGAATTCCACCATCAGCACTCCATTCCAGTCCCAGAGAACAGCTGTCATCAGCTTTCTCACAGACAATGTTTGTTTAAACTTTTCAGCTTGTTTCGTGAATGTGCGTGCATCCATTGCTATGATTATTCTTTGTCTTCAACATTCACAAATGAAACCCATGCTTCATCATGGTCACTCATATGATGTGATCGAGAAATTCATCGCCATCTTTGTGGCATAGCTCTAAAAAAGTCAAAGCTGTAGCCATTCTTGTGTTTTGTGTGCACCCGTGAGCACTGTCGGAACCCATCTTGCACAAAACTTGTGACAGCCCAGACTGACCTCACAGAAAACAGTATGTGAAATTCTGAAGCACAGTCTTTCACTAATTTTTTGGCCAACATTTTGAACAAGATCATTCACTCACTATGGATGGTTGGCCAACCACTTCACCCTTCATCACGAACATTTGTTTGCTTGCCCATCTCTAATCATTCTACACCACTGCCTTATAGTTCCTCCACTCATTAAATTTTGGTTGTAAACTGCGCATAATTTACAATGGCTTCCTGAAACACTCATGTTTTTTGCATGAAATGGATATAAGGAGGAGTTTCACAAGTGGCTTGACTATCAATCGCAGGACCCATCATAACTAACCCTGTAGAGTCAAGAACAGACACTAAGTGACCAATTATGTGATGGTTTACAAGGCAATGAGTTATGTGACACTGTCTCATATATGCAAGCTCTCTCCTGCTCCTATATTACAGGGTGAATCATATAGAACCAGTCCAATGAATTTGCTAATAATTCCGCAGGTGATGCATATAACCTCTCACAATTATGACATAATAATCTGTGGGCTGTGCTGGTCGAATGGTGTGTGCATGATCCAGCAAGTGGCATCCCTTATGCTGCAAGATCAAGGACAATCCCGAAACGTGTCTGCTAAGGCGACGGTCATGGAGTACACTGTTGAACAGCGAGTGTTTCTCATGCGCATGTACTGGGTGACAGGCTTGATTGCGAACACACAATTGGAATTCAGGAGGAAGTTTGGAGTTCGCAAGAAGCCAGCAAAATCAACTATACAGTCTTTGGCTCAGAAATTGGAAAGGACAGGGACACTTTTAAGTGAACATGGTAAAAACCGCCCAGAAATGCCAGATGAAATGAGTGCAATTGTGTGGGACAGGTTACTGCAGTCTCTGAAGAAATCATTACGACATCTAAGGCAGGAAACCGGGTATTCTTATTAAACGTGTCAACGGGCTGCAAAGAAAGCAAGTCTTCGTCCCTACAAGATCACCAGTGTTCAGGAATTGAGTGATGCTGATAAAGATAAACAGGTACTGTACTGTTTATGGTTTCGGGAATTCATGCACAATAACCCCAGAATTTTGGATATCACTTGATTTAGTGATGAAGCATGGTTCCACCTATCAGGATATGTAAACGCACAAAATTCCAGGATCTGGGCGTCTGAAAACCCACATGAGATTGCTGAATCACCACTACACCCACAAAAAGTGGGTGTGTGGTGCGCCATTTCTGGTTTACAAATCATTGGACCGATCTTCTTCAACACGACCGTGGACAGCACCTTATACTGCCATAATTTTTACGATTTTGTGCAGCAGCTGGATGATTTGGAACTAAAACAAGGTTATTTTCAGCAGGATTCAGCGACGTGCCACACGTCCAATAAGTCCATGGAGCTGATTGAGTGCTTCTTCCCCGACTGCGTCATCCCTAAAAAGATGTGGCCCCCCAAAATCCCCCGACCTTACCAGCCCGGATTTTTTCTCTGGGGTTTACCGAAGGACAGAGTGTATGCAAACAAACCGCATACATTACAGGATTTAAAGGACAACATTTTGGCCGAAATCAGGAACATCACTGAAGAAACACTGCAGCGAGTCACGGTGAATATGCAAACGCGGGTGGAGGCATGCCTACTTGAAAACAGCGGACACTTTCAACACCTACTCTGATCACGGCACACAATCCAAGATGAGATATGTGTAAATTACTTTAATATCTGTATGGTATATTTTATATTACAGCTCATTTCATCGGGCCGGTTCTATATGAATCACTCTGTAGTTCCTAAAATAAACAGAGGTTACTTTCTGAATAGTCCTCATATGGAACCTCAACTCCAATTTTTTCTCACTCTTTTACCAAATAAGCCAGAAAGTAAACTACCACCACAAAACATTGCACTGTATTTCATTCTACTACCACAAGAAAGAACCAGAAAATTTATCAGTAATAATTTTAAACTTATATTATTTAGCATATCAAAGAAATGTACAGAAGGTTAACATAAAATGTTCATCTTGGTTAGTTCTGCAAATACAGTCTGAAACATTTCTCGATATAGTGGAATTTGAATGATATTTTGAAGGATATCAATCTGGTACAAAAATATAACCAAAGATTTAGTTTTATTATGATGTTCTGATACTAAATTTACAAAATGTACAAAGAAACTCTTGCCCACTCTGCACATATTTTATTAATAGTCAGGTTCAATTCTTTCCATACACACATATTATTCTGCCCAGTTTTTCTGATTTGAGACAGGAATAGTTCTTCTCAAATACAAAGGAACATATTTCAGAACAAAATATGTGAACAGAAAACAATAACTTCTTTCTGTTTTCAATTTAAAAAGGTTTCCTTTTATTATGGGTACATTTATGTTAGTGTTACTTCCACATTCTACAGATAACATAAGATTTCCACTTAATCCATGTTCCATTTTGTACAAGTTTAACTGTATAAAGATTTGTCAGTTTTATAACGTGAGCCTTATTAATTTCAGATCTGTAAGATCTGTAAAACTCCCCCATAAGTTCCTTTGAATGGAAATACAAGCATGTAAAGCACTTCATTCATCCTTCATTGGACAGTTTTCACATTTACTACGTGTAAAATAAACCTAAACATTACCATTACAATACTGTCATGGTTACAGGTTACAAAAATATTAACAAATGCCTTTCTGAAAATTGGAACCTACTTCACTGCCTCATAACTGTACAACTGCAATAAAACAAATGACAAAACATAAAAACAAAGGTAAAATTGTCTCTGTGCTCAATTAATTAAGAATTATGCCATGAAAAAGCATGAAGGAGTGGATGTACAGATTCATGTTTTCTTGACCTCGACACTAGCTAGGAGTGAGTGGTCAGATTCATGCCCTGCCCACTTTACCCCGGGGGAAAGAGCCATTGGTACCCACTGGAAAGGTGGCTGGGTAAGCCCCAGAACCAGTTTGGATGATGTGTAGAAGTGAAAATTCTTAACCCTACCAGGACTCAAAAACTCCAATCCCTCTGCTGTCCAGCCCGTAGTAAGTTGCTACGCCAGCTCCAAAGCAAATGATACAGTAATAAAAATTTCATATTTGCAAATTACTCTATAATCCCCCATACTACAGTAATAAATTATTAGAAAAGGCCAGAAATCAAAATCATTTCTAACATATCTAATACTTTACTCAGTATGAAGCAGTGTGCATGCTATCAGCCACCAGCCAACTGTCAAATGGCGCCTTCATTAGTGTTCCTGTGAACCCCTTGTTAACTGTCATGTGAGGCATGAAAATTTGTTCAGAGCCTGACAACTTGGAAAACACTCAGCTATAAGCATTCTGGAACTCTGTAAGATTATCCCAGTGAGGATGATCACAGCAAAAGCATGATTTCTATCCTGTGTGTTGTGTATCCACCAACTATTTTTCAGTTATGTCATCTTGTCCAAGAAAGTGTTGTGGCTGCCTATCTGGCTCATATATCATTTAAAAAAGATATTTCTCTACCTATTTTGTATACGTATTCTTCCACCTCAAATGCAACTTAACAGCTTGTCCCACTTCTCTATCACTCCATGTTTCAGCCGTGATCCAATATCGACAAATATGCCCTCAAATCAATATCTTGTAATGAACAGCTGGAGACTACAAAAAAAAAAAAAAAAACATTAAAATGTTTTGATTTTAATTTTAATTCCAATCTTAATTCAAATTTTGTTTTAATTAAAATCAACATCGTGTCCACACATAATATGTAATTTTAGTATACACCGAAACAATTCTGCCAAGATAGACATCACCTGACGATGGTTGTGTTACGCCTGAAACATAGTGATAAAGAAGTGGGACAAGATATGATGCATTGGATACAGAAATACATGTATAAAAAACAGATACATTAATGCAACAGGATGCTTAACTACATCATTCTCCAGGTGTGCAGAACAATGCTACTATTACTTCCATTCGGTTTCCACATAAAGAGCACAGATCACCTGCAGCCCCATCCCCTTAGTTACCATAACTATGCATATTAATCCTACCATCCAATTCCATGGATTTACAAAATGACGATCATTTGTATTATATGGCCTTATATACCATAACAATGCAAAACAATACTTCCATTGCTTTATGCTTTTCCACAGTATCAAACAAGGGTTCACATTTAAAAGTTGGAGCAACTGACAATATTTTGTCTCATCATTCTTGCAGATGGATTTTTGATGTTACTTTGGTCTTCCACCTTCAGGGCAATCAGGCATAAATATTCTTGTCTGAAGCCACTGGAAGGTATGAGGACAGTGAATCTAAACTGATCTAAGAGGCCACATTAATTTCCATATCATCTTATTTTTCCATCTGAACTGAGTTGAGCAGAACCTGTTCATGCTCTCCTTTAGGCACAATAAAAAAAGCTGCTGCATGAGTAATCAAAAACACATTTTCAGTGTTATGTTCCAATTGTGTTACATGTCATGTACAAACAGTCTGAATATCTCAATGAGCACAAAGATTAAAAATATGAAATATACAACTTGACAATCACCCGGTGTAGGATTTTCTTCTTTGAAGTGTGTCTGCTAAGTTTACCTGTAAGATTAAGGAATACACTGCGTTCGACTCCATCCTGTTCATAATCATCTGAATTATCCATATGGCATGTGTAGTTGCCAATATCATTCACACTGATGCAGTCCACGTGCAATGAACACACAGCAATGTCTTCATCTCGTGCACATTTTCTTGTGTATCTAGAAACATTAATGATTCATTTTAAGACGTTTAAAAATATCTTAAAAGGGCTTAATTCGATTGAAAATTAAAAATGCATATAACACTGCAATTAAACTGATGTCCAGTACTTGTACAGCTTCATGCAAAGCAAATTGTGTAAAGGATACAAATAACATATGTGATAGGTGTATGGGATTAGATCAACTCACAGCATAAACCTCTCCTAAATGTGGAACACACTGAAAGAACACACAGATACTGGGTTTTTGGACTTTGTCCATCGTCCGGATTCTAAATAACTAAGAAAAAACACGTTTCAGAAACTGGATCTGTTTCCTACTCCGTTGGGTCCCTTAGAAAGAGCTAGCCTCAATCACTGGACAACCGATGTCACAAAACACTAAGGCTATAAACACCTGAGACCAGGCTAAGTCCATGAGAGCTAACAGGAAAAATATACACTAAAAAGGGACCCAACAAAGTAGGTGTCTTCCCTCACCTGAGGACAGAAACATGTCCAGTTTCCAGAAAGTCTTTTTTTATTAGTTATTTAGAATCTGGACGATGGACAAAGTCCGAAAACCCAGTATCTCTGTGTGTTATACAACATCGTCATAACCCTATAGTATCTACACTGAAAGAAAATTATAATACTGAAATAAACAAAGAGAAATCTTATGTAAATTATGCATATATGCTGGGTTTAGGTCAATGAAGAAGCCATAATGATAGCCCCTCACTTTTGGACTGTCAGCATTGAGACCTCCACCATGACTCATCTCAGGAAATATATAAGGGTTACTGTTCTAGGACATCACTGTAAATTTCAAACCTAACAGCAAGTCCCACACAGTGAGCTGCAACTCTATGCTCCTATTGCAGGAATAACGGCCCATGGCTCCCCACTCAATGCCATACAGATGTATATATGTCTACATAGGCCTACATGGCTTCAGGGGACTTCTGAATAACATCACAGCTGCCAACCAGTGGTAACATCCAAGAACAGCACAGACAATCTAACAGTCATATGGCCACTGGAGTGTCTGCTATCTGGGGCCTGAATTAGTGTAAATGATATATGATATAAACGCCGTCCTAAGTGCAACAATTTATTGTAGGTCTTTCGTCTTGCTTTCTTCTACACTACATGTTTTGGCCGCAGATGGCCATCATCAGGTGTATACACTCACGTAGCTGATTCACTGCACCCAGTTTAAAATTTAAAAACACAGGTCTTCCCAATTGTTACCTTCGTCGCTGCTAACAGAATCTACTTCGCTGATATTTGTCTGATTCGTACATCATCTTTGCCATCCACACACGTCAATTTTGACCTTCATGAACTGGCACTTTTAAAATCTTCAGTTCCAATTTTAAAAATTCCTTTAAAAAATTCCCCCCCCAAAATTTTAAAATTTGGGGGGGGATTTTTTTAAAGGAATTTTTAAAATTGGAACTGAAGATTTAAAAAGTGCCAGTTCATGAAGGTCAAAATTGACGTGTGTGGATGGCAAAGATGATGTACGAATCAGACAAATATCAGCGAAGTAGATTCTGTTAGCAGCGACGAAGGTAACAATTGGGAAGACCTGTGTTTTTAAATTTTAAACTGGGTGCAGTGAAACAGCTACGTGAGTGTATACACCTGATGATGGCCATCTGCAGCCGAAACATGTAGTGTAGAAGAAAGCAAGATGAAAGACCTACAATAAATTGTTGCACTTAGGACGGAGTTTATATCATATATCGTATAGAGTGCAACAGGATGCTTAAATATAATATAGTGTAAATGCTTTATGGTCCAGGCTCTGCGCCCGAATTTGCATACGCAGACAGTGAGAACAGTCCACTCAGGATTCATCTTGAGAGCTCCCTGTAGGGATGCACATTGAAACTTGCACTGAAACCACTGAACAGCTTCACTGCAGACTGCAAAAATGAAGAAAGAGAACAACAGCCCACTTTGCATTCCCTTTTCGGGAAGAGGACAAACATACCTTGAGAGATTTGGGATTTTTTACACAAGACAGGAATATACAAAGGCTCTGTACTGAATAACAGTAAACATTCCCTTCATTTAATATGCTAGTAACTGGTGTTTGAATTCTAATTTGTTACTGTTATTCCCAAATATCTGATCTGCCATATTTTTATATGATTATTCTGTGCTGTTTGTGACAAAGAGACATCAACTTGTACCTAGATGCATCTGCTCATATGTCCAGACAAACTTTCTTATGGTCAGAACATCCAGACTATTCACCCTCTGCTAAAATAGCAAAGGAACTGTTGAAGTTAAACAGGAACCAGCTACAATGGGTGGTGGGACTACTTACAGGACACTGTCACCTTAAAGGACACCTCTTCAAACTGGGACTAAGTAATAGTCCCACTTGTGAGAGGTGTCAAGAAGAAAATTAAAAAAAGCCACACACATCCTGTGTGAATGTGAGGCTTTAGCTTATTTAAGATTATGTCACTCGGATCAATACTTTATGGAACCAAGCGACTATTTCAACGTCCCCACGTACAAAATCCTACGCTTCATTCGAAGTGCAGGATTGCTGAGGGGATATTCAGAAAGGGAGACACAATAGATCACTGTGGTCGCGGTGCAAGGGCCAAGAAGGCCCACCCCTTATACATATATTTATAGATTCATTCAATGACTGTATGGTTTTAAGTTGTTCAAAGACATTTCTGAACAACCTGAATGCTAATCTGTTGCTCATTTTTCAAAAGTTCACAATATGTTACAATTTGTGAACGGCATTAAATTGTTGAGATCAGTTTGGTGATACAGAAGATCATTCTGAAAAGTTGTTGGCTGTTACAATGCCACTTAAATGTGAAAGGCTGGGGAAATCTGATATCAAGAGTGTGAAATTTTTTACTTAACACAAAATGTGGATAAATCAGAATCATGCTTTAAAATGCATCTGGCAAGATAAATAATGTGTATGGTGTCAGCTAGCATTACTCAATATAAAATGTTGCATTATATTAATTGGCTAGATGAGGCAACAAACTGACTGTTTTGTCGTTTTTAAAAAGAAGACCCACATGGCAGTGCACAATCATCATGTGTACACAACACACAAACTTGCGGTGTATTTTGTTGTAAACTAAAAAGAGTGACTGAGATGTGGTTTTCAAACCAAAGTTATGCTATGAAGACATAGGGAAGCAGAGGTATAGCTCCAACATTCTTGACCGTGGCATTAGATGGAGGTGAGTGGTCAGCTTCTTGTTCTAGCCACTTTACCCCAGGGAAAGAGACTCCAGTACCCACTGGGTATGAGGCTGGGTGGCCCCAGAGTCAGTCTGGTCACTGTGGAGTAAAGTCTTTTTCCCCTTTTGGGAACTGAACCCCAACCATCAAGCCCGTAGTCCATTACTATCCCAGCCCCCAAATTAATAAAATGCAGCAGCAAATACTGTTAAGTTTACATATTTATATTATAAAAGAATTGAAGACTGCAGTGGCCAAAACTTCTCAATCTTACAACAAATGAAACTGTTACAACTGGTTCAATTGAGAAGTCCCACAAAATGTTCAGCTCTACTAAAACCGTTCAGCCCCATTCTTATTGTAGCAACACTGTATGATTTGGTCATAGCCTTGAAAGTTGTAATTCTAAAACTGGCAGGATAGGCCAATGTTCAAATACCATGGAAGATTGCAAGTAGATCAGAATCCACTTACCAATATGTACAACAATGGCATTTTAAAATATCTGTCAAATGACATGCAGGACTTTCCTTACAATATTGTAGTACATGATGAAGAGCAACTATTTGCTTCTGAAATGTAAAACTGGCTTGAACAACATATGACACAACATACGTAAGAACTACAGACGATAAGGAAAGAAAAAGAAAAAAGAAATATGCCTTCTGAAAAGGAGAGAAAAGTTTTGCATTAATAAACACACACCTCTCTTCTTCACTGATGTTCTTCCCAGAGAAAGTCCACCATACATCACCATAAGATGGTCTCACTTTGCACACAACTGTAGCATTGTCACAAAATGTCAAATTTGGAGAAATGTACATATCCATGATTTCCAACTTTGTCTCTGAAAACACACACAAAAAGAAAACAATAACAACAACCACTTCAATCTCCATGATCACAACAAACAAACAAACAAACAAACATAGAAGCAACTTATTTCATACCGGTACCATTTACCCAAAAATAGTTCTCCAGTTGTCATGGGGGAGCAATGGATGAGATGCTTATGTTACAGCTTCTCCTATCTTATTGCTGCTAACAGTGAAAAGACTGAAAAGGATGTACTCCCTATTGCAGGACACAAAATTCTAAATGTTGTTCTTTGTAGTTTAAGAATACTTGCAGCCTGTTTATAAATTTCCTTTAAAAATCTATTTAAGGTCTTATGCTACGTGAACTTCATTATGGATCAATATGGATGAAAATCAGAACTGCCTGACAATGTTTAGTGAAAGTCTCCCATACACAATTAAAATAAAAGATTTGTTCAGCTGCTTAGGCACCAGTACTAGGTCAGAGCCAGATAAACAGGCAGACACACAAGACTATCTTTTTACTTTGTACAGAATGGCTGATTACCACTATAACTAAGATGACTCAAAATCCACTGACAAACAAAGAGAGGTGAAATTAAAATACACACACACACACACACATATATATATATATATAAACCATTTTAAAATGAAATACAAACATACTTACTGAAATCCCAAAAATCAAATGTCTGTGTGAGATGGAATTTTCAGTGGTGAAGCTTTAGCCCATAATCTTCTAAATTATGACACCATGTAGTATGGAAGGTGATTACCACCATTTAAAAAAAAATGCTCTCACCTACTTTGAAGACTGAGCATGTTCTTTTGAAATGTTGGTAACCTCTATGAGTGCACAGTGCTACAACCCAGACAACCAAAATCTAAAAATATTTTACTTCTATCATAATGGCTCAAAGTTTTAAAACCTGAAGATATGACAATCTACAAACATCCTTCACTGGACATGTGAGTTCAATGGTAATGCAGCCGACTTTCTTCTCGGAGGTACCCTAGTCAAACTGAAGCTGAGATTCTGCTATTCTTCAGAAAAATGCGATTTACATTTTCCTCAACCCCTCATATAAAAGACATAATACCTTAAAAGAGGCCATGACTGTTCCCTCCACATTTGTATCATGCTATCACTTCAAATCTAATATTATACAGCTAATACAGCATTATAAAATTTGGAGAAGAAAATTCCAAAAAGATTCATATTGTCTCTCTAAGGCTCCACAGACAGTTGTTACATAATTAATAAATTATGCAACACAATATGCATCCTATCTCCTAACCTGACAAACTTCCAATGCACTCTTCCAAGAAGAATATGTTATTGCCAACTTGTTTATCCTTCAATTACAAATGGGTTTCATTTCTTCTGGCAGACTACCATCATAATATAAACTAGTGAGCTATACAAATCATCACGAGTAATGCTTGACCAGCTGTTCTGAATTATAATCAAGCAATGTCATACTGGGCATAGCAACCAAATGACCTACAATTCATTAGGCCATTTTGGTAATGTATTTTTGACTGATACAAATTGAACATGGCAAACCAGGAAACCAAATCACAGTTACCACAAGAGTAACAGTATTATGTAGTGGGAATTATCCTAAAAGTTCTTCTCAGAATGTTTTCTGGGTGAGCAAGCCTGTTAAAATTTCATATAAATCTAGAGGTTAACACCGCTCTTTTCCAACCCGCCTTTGCTTGTATCGGCGCAGTCGGAATGGTGCTATCCCTGCTACACCTGTTTCTACCTTAGGACAGTGTATGATGGCCACTGCAAGTTGTCCTCACAGATCACACTAAGGAAGATCGGTATAGGTACGGGAAACTAGCTGGGTCGGTTTGCATGAGTCTCAGGGTAGCGATGCCGAAGAAAGCGTTTTTCTGAGAGTTGAGCCAATTGACGTTTATTCACCTGCTAATTCACCACACTGTTAAATTAATGTATTCTTAGCCTTAAGTTACAGCGTTACACTATCGGCTAGCTATGTCTCGGAGCATGCAAGGGTCACGTCCGTTCAGTTCGGAATATTGTGAAAGTCTCTCTTTTGTGGAATGGCTTGCACCCCCACGCCGGGAATTCGAAAGATGGTGTTGACATATACATTTTCATCCCATCTTCCGTAGGAAGCTTGAACGAGGCAACCCAGTCATACTGGCCCTCATTCACAGGCAATTGTAACAAGCTCTGACCTGTCCTTTTAGGCGCGTCCGGTTCCCTGTACCCGAGCTAAATTTATGACTGATCGTAAATGTCATAACTCCGGACTTCTTGTTTCTGCCAGAATCTAGAAATTTTCAACATAAACACCGTATTGCACTTCCCAGACAGTGAAATATGATATTAAAGATCACAATACATTTCCAGTATTATCGAAACATAAGACTTTTGAAATTAAAATTACCGAGAATTAATTAGAAATAAATTTCATGGTCATCTATAATCATCCAAATAAATAAGGGCTCAGAATGATCAGCGTCAAGGTCACCTCCAAAACAAGGAACCAGAATAAAAGGTATATGTAAAGTTATCCCTATACTTAATTTAGCACTTATACCCTGAAGACATATGAAGTAGTGGAGGTATAACTTCACCATTATGATATGAAAGGTACATGAAGTGATAGGCCAACAAGAAGTGACTTGGAAAACTCTGTGGCACTGCTTTCTGTTAGGTCTGACTGCCCTGCAACAATGGTTTCCTTTATTGCCATACTGCCCAATAAACCAGGTAACAAGAACAAGCGACAAAAGCAGACGCAATAGCGTAAGCTTCAATAAACACTACATATCCAATAACACACTCAACATACACAACTATGACCAAACACCAAATATTAACATCTTAAACAATGTAAGGGAAGACAGTTACATTGTACACACAACATTGTTGAATAATAGTCAAAACCAAAATATAGTCGCGAACAATAACAAACCCAACACGACCTTATTTAAACTACAGATATCCAGAATATGATATTTCTACAGGCCTAATATTTTAACATTTTAATAATACTGAAACTTTTGACATATTGTTAATATTTTAAGATTTTAATAAGTTTAAATGCTTGTTTTATGTACGTTTTAAACAAGTTTAGGTTCGAAGAAAGCAGTCTTCTGGGATTTGGCACCGTGTATATGTGGTGTTAACCGACGTTTTGGAGGAACGTATCGCCTCCATTTTCAGGGTAGAAGGAAAAATATAAGAAATCTGCAAGTAAAGAGACCGTGAGAACTGGTAAAAGCAGTCTGCTTGCGGATTTCTTATATTTTTCCTTCTACCCTGAAGATGGAGGCGATACGGTCCTCCGAAACGTCGGTTAACACCACATATACACGGTGCCAAATCCCAGAAGACTGCTTTCTTCATAGTCACCGCCGTGAAAGCCTCAAATCTTACAAGTTTAGGTTCAGTACAGAACCACTTAATTTGTGCATATAACGGTGAACAGAAGAAGTGAGAGAAGCATGCTGTGTTATCACTTTATTCATAACACACAACTAAAAAATTATATGGATCCATACAGAAAGCAAAATTCAACCATGTAAGAATTTTTTATGTACTGCCTCCATGAGCTGAAACATGTAGCCATGCTGTAGAACCAAATTAACTCAGATATGCACAATGGAGTGTGAGTTATGTGATGTTTGTTTTTGTTGTGTTTTGACAGGTAAAACAAAAACTCACCTAAATACAGAACAAGAATAGTTGTCCATATATATCTGCATCCATGGCCCTCCCCTTTTTCTGTCAACTGTTTTATGGTTGCATGTCTTGTGTCAACTGTTTTATGTTGCATGTGTTGTACTATCATCTCTGTGGTCACACATGTCCTGTCCTTTCTTAAGTATAAGTCCATATCATGTGTAGCCAGACACATATTTTGTAATGTTTTATTCAAAAATATGTGTTTTAGGTTAAGTAGTGTCATCCATTCCACAATATACCTCACCTCTTTCATGTCCACCTATTTTGCTTTTTTTTTCTTTTAAAAATATTTGCAATTGATGTTCTTCCCTCAGAGTAAGAGCCTACGTTTCACAACCACACAAAACAAATTGTTAAAACTACAGTTTCATTCTTTGGCACATTTGAAAAACAATTCAGACAATGACAGTAAATAACTGAAGTGAATAATGAGGCATTTGTGCAATTTACTGCAAACTTGGTAGTGTTGTTGGTTGAGGTACTATGCTACAAGCCGGAAGGTTGCAGGTTCATGTCCCTATGAGGTGGATTTTTTTTTCAATTAACCTAATCCTTCCACTCGCACTATGGCCCTGGGGTCAACTCAACCTCTAACAGAAATGAGTATCAGTAATCTTCCTGGGGGGTAGAGGGTGTCCAGCATATAAGGCTGACAACCTTACTGCCATCTGTGAGCCAACTGTCTAGAGAAAATGTGGGAGCCATGACGTCCCACAACCCTATGGACCTTCACGGCCTGTGACAGGGATAGCTTTCCTTTTACTGCGGTCTTAATATCATCAGCAGACATGATGTTATACATTGCTACAGTCAATATATTTAGATAAATGGTTTTAATATACTATATAAAAAAAGGTAAAACTATCCCTGTAACTGGCCATGGAGGCATATTTGGGTTATATGACACCAAGCTTCCCAAATTTTCTAGACAATATCACTGATGGAGGTAAGGTTGTCAGGTTTATGCACCAGGCGCCCTTTAACCTGGGAAGATTCCAGGTACTCAATTCTGTTGAAGACTGAGCCAACCCCAGGGCCATAGTATGGCTGGAAGGATTAGGTCAACTGAAAAATCCAATGGCCTAATTGGGAATCAAAACCGCGGCCTTCCAGTTTGTAGCATACTGATTGAAAATAAATAGCTATAAACATAAACATTAAATGCAACTTGAAATTTTCATAGCAGGAAAGACTCATACTGTGGTCTTCTGGGTAATGACAATGTGTAGTTTCATAATGTGAACCAGTGTTCTGGAGGAAGATACTGAAGCTATAAGATGGTGAACTTTCTTGGAGAAGAGTCACATGGAAGACCTAGGGAAGATAATTTTATATCGATCACAGGGACATAGGTTATAAAGATATGAGCTGATTTTAAATGGTCTAGGATCATATCAAATGGTAGGATGTCAGTTTCTATCACTAGAGATCATTTTCAGATAGTTGCAAAGTACATTCTTCCTTGTGTCATCAACTATAATGCACAGTGATACAAACTGCACTCAAAACTACCATATTCTGTGTCTCCATCTTCAGCAATTTAGAAAATAGGTAAAATGATTTAAACTAAACTAAATAATAACCAGCACTACCTGAATTGCCATGAAAGATTGAGATAATATGTTCCTTTGAAATTGTGCTACACACCTACCAGACTATACACAGCCACAATCCAGAAGACCAAAATATGAAGACAGATATTAAAGTCTGAAAAGGAATGTCACTGCTAAGTTGTGATATGTTGGAAATAATTTATTAATAATAACTGTATTATGAATCTTGTTACAGATTTTGGTTCTGACATGCTTGTGTTTTTACTTCATGATAACATATGCTTATGAACACTTTCCCTGTTACAATTAGCTCAATTAAGTAAAAAGTTATAATGGAAAGACATGAAATACAGACAAATGTAAGTGCTAGATTTTGACAGCGAAACTTGGAAAGCAGTAATATGGAAGACCAAGAAAATGAAGTGAAGATAATACCACGAGGTGGCCCCCAGAGAAGGAAGTGACAAGGATGTGAAACTGACTGAACTGACATGTGGACTTGTGTTAGCACTGTCAAATTCTTCGGCTTCATTGTTTTGCTTTTCTTTCTCTAAATTCGTTATTTACTGACGCTGTCAGTATCCATATTATATAGGGTTGATGACATAATTAATGAATATGGAGCAGCCTGTGGAATGCGTCGAGGTCTTTGGTATGTGTCACTGTCAAGTACTATTGCATTTTATAACCACAAGCGCATGTATGAATTGCTGTCAGTGGTGAGAGAGAGCATTATGCGAATACATAACCAACTGAGTATATCAAAATTCTAAGTTCTGCCTTCTTCACCACTTATATTAGCCGAATATAAGATTAACTTCCTTTCGGGGCACTTCACCTCAACTACAGTGTGCAGTTTGCACTTGACAAGTTTGACACGAACTTCTACTACAATTTGTATCCGAAGATATAACGGTAACATAACAACGTAACATGCCGTTGAACATAGGGAGACAGTGCTACTCACCATCTGCATGGACAGGTATGACCAGGGAAGAAGATAAACATAATAATGCAACAATTATTTGCAAATCGTGGGCTTGGCTTCCAAACATGGCGTCCGACCGGTTTCAGTTTCGCGTTCAAACCTATTTTGTAGCAACACTAGAGATCCTCATTCTTCCATCCTTTGATTGTGCATTTTTCCTTTGACCTTCCAAACACTTCTCAATACAGGACATTTCCCTCAGGGTCTCTTATGCTAAAAACATATTAAGTATACGCCTACATTCATACGTATCTTAACGCTCACAAAACCAACAAAACCTGAAAACACAAGCGCATGGCTGAAGGCAAAGATCATAATAAATTTCAGCGGAATGAGTGAGACCTGCTACTCTGTGATTGTGACCATGTGGACACTGACCCATGTGCATGGCCTACGTTCGTACATATGCACTTGGGAACGTTACTCCATTCGTACTATTCTTCCATCTCTGAATCAGATTGAAGTAAACAAGATGATGAACACGGTAGCCCAATCGGTAAAACAGGTTACTACTACTACTACAGCGGTAACTATAAAGCCTACTGTCTTCTGAGACGTAATGTCGTGCAGCTCGGTAGAAGTTCACATACGTTTCGGAGAAACGAACTTCCGCCATCATCATGGTAGAAGAGTGAGCCAAGCAAGAAGCAGGCTGCAAGCAGTGAATTCGGAGACTAAGGAACCTACCACATTAGAAAGTGATTCTGTCATTGGTTGCAAATTTTGTGAAGTATAGTTTGTTAATATTTATATTGAATTTAATTGCTCTAAACCACTCTTTCGTAAGATTTAAAGATGTCTTTCGATAATTTCATGGAATTATTTTAATCGGTTTCTGTCTTCTCGTCTACTGTCTAGAAATGTAAAAATGAAAATATACAGAACTATTATGTTGCGTGTCTTTTTTCTTTTGGGTGTGAAACTTGGTCTCTGGAACTAAAGGAAAAAGGCAGACTAAAGGTATTTGAGAATAGGATGTTGAGGGGAAAATTGAATCGAAAAGGAATGAAATGGTAGGAAACTGGAGAAAATTTCATAATGAGGAGCTTCATAACTTGCACTCTTCGCCAAATACAACTGGAATGATCAAGACAAGGAAGATGGTTGGGCAGGGAATGTAGCACGTATGGGGGAGAAGAGGAATGCATATAAGATTTTGGTGGGCCGCGCCATAGCTCAAGCGGTTAGTCGCTGGCTTCCCACAGCGGCGGCCCGGGTTCGATCCCGGGTCTGGTCAAGTGGGATTTGTGGTGGACAAAGTGGTGCTGGGGCGGGTTTTCTCCGAGTACTTTGGTTTCCCCTGCCAATCTTCATTTCACCAAATTGTCCATCATCATAATCACCAGGGGCAGGTACAATAGGCCAATCAGTGGCTGCAGTGCCAAGTGGACCCAGCTGGACTCCACCGCCCCACTAAGCGAAGATTTTGGTGGTAAAGCTAGAGGAAAGAGCCCACTAGGAAGACCTGGACGTAGGCGAAAGGATAATATTACATGAAGCTCTGGGAAGAACTAAGCACCTACTTTCTTTTGATATGACACGGCCGCATACTAAACGACTGATACGACACGGACAGCACAGAAAGCGAAAAGGTTAGGGAGGGATACACAGACACAAAGACGTATAGACATACAGACAGCAAGGTGATCCCATAAGCCTCCTCTTTTTCTTCAAAATAAAGACAATAAAGATGAACTAGAATAGGGCAGTTAACATAGCGACTGCCTTTGAACTGAACGGCAGAGTTCGAGTCCCAGTAGGGTAAAGAATTTTCTCCTCTCCACGTCGTCCAGACTGGTTCTGGGGCCCACCCAACATCTTATCCAATAGGTACCAGGGGCTCTACCCCCCGTTGTAAGGTGGCCGGGTCTTGAAGCTGACTGCTCACCTCCCACTAGCGCCTAGGTCAAGAATACATGGATCCACGCATCCACTACCGTATAAGTCTTCACGGCGTAGTTCATAATTAGTTAAGCACAGGGACAACTTGAACTTTTTCAACTTTAAGGAAAGTAAAAATTCCATCTTTTAGGATATAACGCTGTGTAGATCATAGAAATCCAAACGAAATTTCAGACGAACATATCGGCTACAACTTTAGGGCCGAAGAGTAAGCCAAGCTAGAAATCAGTGTGAAAGCAGATGGAAAATAGTGAAGATCGAGGCTACACGTACTTCCGAAACGTCGGTTGACTTTCAATGGGTCTACACGGCGTTATATCCTGGAAGATAGAATTCTTCATAACCACCGATGTGAGAACATCAAGTCCTACATACGGAAGGTAGGTTAAAAATGGATCTTAGGTAAATAGGATGGGGTGGTATAGACTGGATTCGTCTGGCTCGGAATGGGAATCAGTGGAGGACTCTTGCGAACACGGTAATGAACTTTCGGGTTTCCATAAGATGTTGAGAAATTCTTAGAGCAGCTGAGCGACTGGCGGTTTCTCAAGAAGGAATCAGCTCCGTGGAGTTAGTTAATTAGTTTCCATTGGATTCGGTGATTGTTTTCCCGTATTTAGTGACCAGACACAGGGTTCTGTTTGGTAACTGGATTTATTGAACACATAACTCGTAACTACAAAGAATTACGTATACGTTTACCGCTAATCTACATACTTTACAGCTCACTACAGCAAAAGTTAAATCTTCTATGTCTTCATTCGTCGTTGCCTGGTAACGGATCACAACAATAGGTTGTTATGGGCTGGAGACTGTCTCGCACATATTCAATATCAAAGTTATATCAAGACTGATGGTCAGTCTACCTAGTCTACCTTGGTGCCAAGCCGCATCTGGGGCTCAAGACCAGATTTTCGTTACTGTTAGGCAGTTGCGGGTTTGTTCATGTGGGGTTCCGCACCAAAGTCAAAGTCAACGTTACTTTAATGTTGGCGGTTTACCGCCAATCAGTTCGTCTTGGCAAGCCCCTTGAGACTCAAGAACAGAGATTTTATTTTCAACTTAACCCTTGTGATAATAGTCCTTATGTAAAATCTTCCATGACGAGAATTTGGGCTTGTCTCTTATCAATACGCTTGGCCTTTCGTCAAGCGTACGTACTTAATGCATGTTATTGAGAATTCCTTCTTTTGCACTATACGTATACAAGTCCTCTGTCAGTAGAGGTTTTGCAAAGCATTTCATACTTATTTTACGTATCTTACTCTACAACGGCAGCTTAGTGAATTGAACTGAACAGTTGTAAACTTGAATTCGCACCTAAAGTCAAAGTCGAAGTCCCATTGCGACTGACGGCCAGTCAGTCAGTCAGTCAGTATTAGTATCGAGACAAATCTGGGGCTCATGACCAGATATTTATTACTGTTTGACAGTTACGGTATTTTTATTGCGGGGCGCAATATCTGAAGAGAGGACGGGTCTGACTTTTATCTGAGCCCTTATGTGCAGTAGTAAGTAATTTGCCATAATGTAAAGGATATTTACATTTTACACTTTAAACATATCAATAAATGTATATAAAATATATACAGGGCCTCTGTCAGTAGCTTCCGCTACAACGGCAGTCTAGTCACAATTAGCACTTAAGCCCCTGACGGATTCTTTATATAACCTCGGCTCGGACCTCATAGGAAACACCGGATTGCCTAGAAATGGCCAAATAGTTCCTCTTTTGTGGCGTCACGTGTTCGTTGCTGCGGAAATGCGTTTCATTTCCTGCTGCTTAGAAGCGGATGTCTTCCTTTGTTGAACTATACAGTCATAAAGTCACAATATTGTGACATGACGCCTGAAAGGCGCAAAAATGGAGGCAGAGCCAGGCGCCCATTGCAGACAACGGCTTAGTAAATATATTTCGTAGGCAACGCATGCAGAAACATTTCCATTACAACGGACAGGTAATGGGTGTTCACACGACAACGAACAGGTCAAAGCACAGTAACGGCTAGGGACGCGAGAACTATGCTGTTGAAGGAGGTGGTTCGACCAGAACCTACCTTAGGGACAAAATAAGACAGAATAGAGAATACGAGAGGACACAGAAAAAGATAGAATAGACAGACCACAGAAGACGGAGTAGGAAGTCAGACGCGAAGCCTTTAGTTCATGTGGTGTTATCATTGTTCGTAGTTACGAAGTGTTATAGTTACAGCTAACTGTAATTCCTCTTGGTGAATATTCAACAAATGGCTTCATCTAATCCGGAACCCATTGCTTACTTGTCGCCTTGTCATGGTACGTGACAATATCCTCAGCAATGTAGTGGGATTCGAGGAGGCTGCCCAAGCGATCCGAAAATTAAAGCCTTTTCCTGCATCCCGGAAATCGCGTATTTTTCTAAATTGTTATGTTTTTAATTTGCTGGGTTGTTTTTAAAGTTGAACATAAGCGTCCTGCACATTATCGTATTTACAACATACAATCAAATTTTCTGCGTCAGGAGCTCTTAGAACAACGCTCTGTTGTTTCTTGTCTACCGGACACGCAATTAGGGATAACAATGTGAGAGGGTCTATGTTTCGGAGAAGAAGATTAATTGCTTTCACAGCAACAGCGCCGTTATGAAATCAACAACTAGCAACATGCTGCAGGGAAGTGTGAACTCTGCCGCCTCAATTCTTTAAAGTTTACCTCTTTGAAATAGGCTACAATATAACCGATTGCTGAATATCAGTCAGTTGAGTTTCAAAGTGTTTTTAATAATCGTTGTGTACAAGGTTCTCGCCTTTTGTGACGGATTAAATTTAGAAATGCGTTCATTTTCGATTCTGTTGGTTTTGCTTTCTGCGGAAGGACGCCTAAAAGAAATGGCCGGCGACGTCAAAAATTTCAGATCAATCTACATCCTGGTGTGAAAAAAAATGCTAGCCGCAGAAATATCATTTTATAGAACTGGCGGTGGGTGATTTTCGGGGTCGCTGTAAGATTTGAGGCAAAAAGGTTTTAATCTCCCATGGAGGACAGAAGGACATCACGAGGCGTGCTGCTATCTTCATTCACAGAATGAATGTTATAAGGATAAATACAAATAAACTGATGGCAGATCTTGTGATGCTAGACTTCATCCATATACAGACAAAATAACTGCAGTGGGATGTGCCGTAGTGTATCACATAGTTCAGTGTGATTGCAACTATTGCTCAACTGACTGTGATATGAAATTGTGTCAGGCTTCTTTCCCCATTCTGACGTAGTGAAGAAACTGTATTGCGGTAGGACCAAATATGAAGCTATTCTAAACTGCGTTTTTGCTCCTGCCTGATTTGATGATTCTATGGTAATTCTACACTGGAACATGATAGATATAGATGAGGAGGACATAGAACTTTACTCTTAGATTGTAAGTGATGTATCC